TTTACACTACTCTGTTTTAGCTGTATGAGCATCACTACTATACTTTCTATGTACCATTTGTTTTATTCAATATATAATATTACAAACAGAAACCCCAATAATAATGGTTATGTCTTTTTTTTAAAATAGCTGTTTCACGCCTCTGGAATTACTCAGACCTAACTCAAGGACATCTGTCGTGTCCTCTTTTGAAACTAAATATCAGCTCAACTCTATTTAATATACAAATCACTACTATACTTTCTATGTACCATTTGTTTTATTCACTATATAACATTACAAACTGCATCATTACCTGATCTTTTATTTTTTTTTAGATTCATCTATCAGGAGGGAGAGAGCAGCTGTGGCCCCTGGTCAGCACGCAGGGAGGGGGTATGAGAACCTGAGGGGGTGAACTTTTGACCAAGGAGGGGAGGGAGGCCAGGGGAGTGATGAGGGGTGACCTTTGACCTGAGAGAGGAGGGTGGAGGGGGAATTGATTTTCCCCCTGTTGTGGGGGGGGGAGGGAGCGGGGTGAGAGGGGGAGGGAGGGCAGGGAGGGGGGCTTGGGGGCGGGACAAAGCTTCTGATTGGATAACCTTTCACCTAGAACTGTCAACTCGAGTTTGATGAAAGCCGGTATCTATACTGTGTGTGCCAGTATATTTAATTATAAAATATTCACCAATATTATAGGCTGTAATTATTGCACAGCAAATATTATGCTTTGAATCAACATAAACACATTCTAGCATGGTGAAGTCATGACCCCTTACCTTTCTGTGTTTGCTCTTCACATGAAAAATGTAGGAGTCTCTTTCAGGGAACCACTGGAGACACTCCCCGCACGTCCAGCCGATGGCCTTGACACAAGGCCTGCTGTCCTGATCAGCCTTTTTTCGGGGACTATCTGTGTGTTTAACAGGACTGCGACTCTTCTGCTGTTGGACAGAATGGACATCCTTGTACCAGTCAGTATAGTCAGACTGCTTACTGTCCTCCATCTCTTCTGCCATGTTTCCTGCATGCACACCCTAAAAAACAAATACATGGCCAAAATTACAAAAGGTCCCAGTAATACGAGATCCAGTAGTCTCCATCATCATATATTATAGGTCATAGTTTATTTAATACTCATTGCTTACTCAGCAAACAAGTGGTTAAATCATGCATAGCAGTGCTGCCTAACTAGGTGGGCGACTTCATGTTGATTTTTCTGCTTCATATGGTTTTACAGATTAATAAATGTGAGGAAGCAGGAGCTGAGCTTTGTTTGGCAAGTTTAATGACAGTTCAGTTTAAATGTCACTTTTTTTGTAGACAAACAATGTCTAACAAACAATGTTTATGGGTATAATAGAAACCAGTTGTCAGTTACAATCTGTTTTCATTATGCAAGTTTCAAGTAACAAATAGGTAATAAAGCACATGGATAAATGGTTAAACTACACAATTAAATTCAGCCCACAAATACATGCCAGACAGGTCACTTGTGGGGAGTTTAATTATAAGTGACAAACCTACACAAGTTGTTTTAATAAAAAGATACATTCAAGACTAACCTTAAAGTGTTGAATTAACAACTGCTTTTGTGAAAAGACCGAGTTACATTCTGGACACTTGAACACGCACGTAACACGCTTGTTGGCATTATGATGGAAATGCTGAAACAGTAATTGCTTTTTCTTGAAAATGGCTCCACATGAACACTTAAAGATTAGTCTGCAAAGGAAAGAGAAAATGTTTAAAACCAACTGTAACAAACAGGTTTTAACAGTAGGGCCATGAGATGTGAACTTACTGAGGGGATGCTTTGCTAGCACTGTGTTTATTCTTCAAATGAACTTCACAGCTGTCGGGGGTCTTGAAGGCATTTGGACAGATGGAACACTTGTAAAACACCTCAGTGTGTTTCTCTTCAATATGGGTCTTCTGTCCATGAAGGGTCTTGAAAACCACATCACAATGAAGACACCTGGAAGATAGGAAAAATAATGCTACATTTCTGTTTCATTACATGTCAGTGAGGCCTGAATGTCATGCATGTTTACTCACTTGTACCAAGCCTTGCGTGCATAGTGCAGACAGTTTTCCTTCACGTGCTTCTGTATGTCTGCAGAGCGACTCAGCGCACCACACTCAGGGCAACAGTAAGGAGACTTATGTGCATGAATACGTTGGTGAGCTCTGAAGCTGCACTTGTTGGGTAACAACATGGAGCACAACTTGCACAACTGTTTCATGAAAGAAAACAAGAGAAAATTAATATAAAGATTTTTAAAGATTGATCTCAGACTTTTGCTGGCCTCATCTTTTAATATTTTAGCAAAACATCTACTCACTAGTCCTTCTACATCTTCTGATGGCCTCTGGTAATGGCCTGCAAGCGCTTTGTAGTCAGGCAACTGCTTGTTACACTCCAGACATCGGAGTCGATGGCGGACAACATTGTCTGGATACAGGGGCAGGACAGGCTGGTTTTTAGATGAGGTGTAAGAGTCCACGTTCACAGTTTCAGCTCTCAGGGGTACAAACATTTCTTCTTCTGGTATGGGTTTCATATGGAGCTGGGTGCACTGCATCACCTTGCCGTTGCTCTTGTGTTCCCGTGCATGAGCCAATAAGGCACACTTGTTGAAGAACACTATTGTCTTTGCACAGTGCGTACATCCTACTTCAATGTGAACACTCCTCCTGTTGTAATGATACGCAAGACTCCTCTCCACCCCAAAAGAGTCCCCACACTCGAGACAGCAGTATCCATGCGGTGGAAGGTTGATATTGCTCTCTGGAGGGGGGTTCAAGTTGGGCACATATGTAGGCACAGGGTTGACGGTGTTTGACAGTTTGTTTAAGGTTCCTGCTGCTGTGTTATTGGACGTGCGAGAATAAGGGTTAGCTGTTTTGACCTGATGCACCAACGGCACAGTACTGTAAACCATAGATGAGAATGTGTATTGACTTTGTGGGTGAGAGGTGGAACGTGCTGCTACTGAAGCAGCAACACTGTGAGGAACCAGGTTTAGACTTGCTAAGTGCATTGCTTTGGGAAGGAAGTTTGTGCTAGCTGAATGACCTGTTGTGGCCGATAATCTCTTTGGTTTCTGGCCCTGATGTGCAGCAGATCTTTTGACACGACCACTGTTATTACGAAACACTATCATAGGCTGTGTTGTACCTCTCCTCTTAGAGTTTGTTTCTGATTTGTTGTGTAAAACTTTCTGTGGGGATGCATTAGATGGGGTACCTTTATTCTGTATTTGAAAAATACTATCAACAGCTGCACTCTGAGACTGGTGAGGGGACATATTACTATAAGAATCTTCACTAATCACACTCTGTGATGGAGAGGATTCATATGCTGAATGAACTTCATCTGTTTCTGAATCAGGCAGGACACTAGTGACTGTACGCTTAATCTGCCCAGACGTGGTCTTGATTGTCTTAATTCTCACCCTGGGTATAGCTGGGGGTGACCCGCATGCCACCACAGGGGATGATTTGCCACTGCTGCAGATGCTTACAGGGCTATCAGAGGGTTTCATAAACCGTTTTACAGCTTCAAGAGGACTTCTGGGGCTTCGTGGTGATATGGGAAACTTGGGGCTAGCTTTCATGCAATCATTCTGAACCACTGATGATTCTCTGGGATTAGTCTGCTCACCAAGATCTTTTCTAGCATTCAGAGCCACCAAGGCCTCAAGACAAGAGGATAATTTAGAAGTCTGAGATTTGACATGTGGATAAGTGGTGGGCACATCCATTGTGGTTCCTGAATTGTAGTTGGTCTCAAAGTTCTGGTTACTACTTGGTGGAGGAAGTGCATTCTGTACTCTATCTATTTCAATACTGCCACAGGTGTCAGAAAGCTCCTCCATTCTATTGCTTTCTGTTTTGCTCCTTTGTGTCTTCTTGCTAATATCAGAGTCCTTTGGACAGTCATCAAACATGCTGAGGTCCAGGTTTTTTGAATTGTCTAGGACTGAAGGTTCCATCAAACCTGAAGCTTCTGGGAAACATGGTCGTTCTTGTTTTGGATGCATTTCATCTCTACTACATAGTGTGTCTTCAGTCTCAGGACTGGAGATGGGACTAAAATGAGATAGCGAGTGGAAAAATATTGGTGTTCCATCAGGTTTGTGCTGAATAGGTGCCTTTCCAAGAAGCTCTCTTGAACTCTCACCATTCAAAGCAGAGACAAATGACCTGGAGAAATCGGTGTTGGTTGTCTCAACAGAGTCAGTGGAAGGCCCTTGTCCCTGAAATCCATTTTGTAATGCTGGTCCTGAGTGAAGCTTATCACCAAAACCTTCAAACAACTGCTGGCAAGTTGTGTTTTTTACAATAACACTTACAACAGGAACATCTGCTGTTGTGACAGCTTGGTTACTCAGTAAGTTGTCATCCAGACATATGCCTGCATGCTTCTGTTCACTTTCTGCATCCTCATGACTCCCCTGGCTGGGCTCTTTGGCATCTAACCCTGTGGCATCTGGGATGTCAAAGGCAGCCAGAAGATCATCAAAATCTGGGGTTTTCATGTCACCCATGACTGCGCATTCTCAAAAACCTACAGAAACACATGCAGGGTTGACTTAATATCTTATCTTTTAATGCAGTGCAGGCAGAGTTTTAAAAATTACAGCTAGTTAGTGACGAGTAACTGTTAAGCAGCAGGGTAACGTCATATAAGATAGCTTAAGCTAACAAGCTCTGTTGGTCTTCCTCTATGCAGCGATTATTTTGTAGAAAAACGCACATTAACGCAAACATCACAAGGCACTCAAAGTTACACCAACTCTTGCACAAGCCGATTTACATGAAAGCTGCTTTGAGGCTGGCATTGCTGACGTAAAAGCCAGTTAAGATACAGTCAGTTAGCCTAGTAGCTAAGTACATAGCGTAGCCAAGCTAGTAAATCAACAACCTAGCTTAGCAACATGCTAGGTTGCAAATAATTTAGCCAAGCTAGCAAACTCGTCACTTATCGATGTACAAATGTGCTTACCATTTGATCCGGTTATGGCTAACAGCTCTAGTAAAGTAGCTATATAACCCGTCAACTGTAAGCGGTAAACAATTAGACAATTAGGTTTAGCAGTTGCAGAGTTGCATATCTAGGCTACAAGCTATTAGGGTTAACTTCGTTTTTCTTTTGCTGCCACACGGCTGACTTAAGCCCTCGATGCTGTCTTACAGACGAGAGGCGGTGCCATTGACCACTTGTAATATTACTACTACATGACAACTCAATGGAGTAAGGCAATATATAGCTATGCTCAGCTGCTGCAGTAGGCTACACAAATGCTGGCATTATAGTGTCTGATAAGAAGTCAAAGATGTGTAGGTAGCTAATGCATCATGGGAATAGCACACCAAAATATAAATATGAATAAATCATATGCATATCGAGGGCCAGAGTGTAAAATGTACTAGGCACCCATAACTGACCCACCTTCCCTGCTATTGCCACCACTTGATGTTGTTTACTCTGTGGCCTACGTCATATTATTAGGATTTTAAAGTTCAAGTTGTATCTCAAATGTCAAATCTGCTTTGTGGGTAGCCTAACTGCAGGGGTATTTAGTCTTGAACTAATTAGAGTGACTCACAAATGAAAAAAGTGGTCAAAGCTGCAACAGCAGAGACAGCCATATTCTGACTTCTAGTCCCTAGTGAGGGTCAAGTTCCAAACATAATGGATCATGCAGCTCCTATAAGCTAAGGCAAGTCAGAGTCTTTCATTTGACCCGGTCAAGTCTCAAAACAAAATGAAACAAATGGATGGTGGTTGGATGGTGTAAGGGACAGCAAAACAACCATGTAGCTTTGCTCACTGTACTCTAATCCATTGTGGCAGTCAGTGCTTCAATAGTGTTTTGTCAGTTTATCATTGGGATCTAAACGAAGGAAAGCATCAGCTCCACTGTTTGCTCTTGTTATGAACCTGGATATGCTGGAAATCACATGGGGCATTACAGAGAAAGATAAGGTACTGTATTGTTTGTTTTTTTTTAATGTGGTGTATGTACCTTGGACTTCCTGGTATGTAGTTTTGATAGCCTACTAAGATTAGATTTTCCTGGTGAAATAAACAGAATTTGAATGTAGACAGATTAAATATGAAAAGAGAACACTATTTGCCAGGTCTACAATGTGAAAGGACACAATTCATGCAGCAGTCTGGAGCAAAACTTATCCTTGCTTCTCAGTGGTATTTGCACTTTGTGTTCACTTTAAATTGTTGTATCTTATTTAAAAATGACTATACAAATGTCTCATCTGAGAAGGAGGGAGAAGTTCTGCTTTCAGAATCATTAGGAAAATCCATGATGTCAACAGGTCCTGCGTTGGGACAGAGCATAGGTTACTACAGTTCAGTTTTTGAGATCCTGTTAGACAAAGTGGAGGGCATCAAAGCCCCTCGGTCTTCCTTCCCGCTAGTCAAGCTGTGCAGCAGTGACAGCAATTCCTGTTAAGTTTATAAACAAGACAGACCTCAAGAATTTTGAATTCAGATTTAAAAGAAAATAATTCCGTAAATATAACCTTGAGAGGAACAATGATGTTACAGGAACTAATAGCTTTGTCGCGTAGCCAGTGATTCCAACATGGCTAGGTTATTTGAAAGACGAAACAAACTGGGAAGCTATTTATTTTACATATAGGTTTTAATTTGTAAGATTGTAAACAAAGAACCATACATATGGAACAATAAGCATACTAAATGGTCAGATATTGCATAGGCTACGTTTAGTTTGCATAAATTAGGGTGTTTTTTTTCTTACAGTCATCCCTGTATTTCTCAATGAGTAACGCATCTAAATTGTCAAATCAGTTATTTGGAAATGAGCTGAAGGTGTACAAAGACTTTTAGTGTGATGCTGGGTGTTACGAACCCTGGAATGACTGCTTTTCTTGGGAATCAGACATGTATTATCACATGTATTATCACCTGCAATATATTAAATGGACCCAATAACAGTCATAATTGCTCAAGGATGTCTGATTCTGCAGTATATGGTTTCTCATACAGACAGACACATCTAAACAAATTTCTATTACGACAAGCGTTTGAAATTTGTGCACTCAAAAATATTTTGTGATACTGTGTCAGTATTATTAAAAAATAAAGAAAAAAAATAATTTGTTCGAGTTAGGGCTCATTAATGATGTTGATTCACATGTTTGCGACAATGTGGCCTATTTGTAGGAATAAATAGGAGACTTTTATGATTTTATTATGACTTCATGGGTGGAGCACAGTGCTCCTACAGATAAAATCCCTGTATTCCAATCATCACATATCAACTTTTCAGGCTCAAGGTCAGCTCTAGTGACTGCATATCTACCAAAAAGATCACATCTTGTCATCTGTTGTTCAGTGATTTTACAAACGATGGACATGGTTAACATCATGTTTAATCCACTGTTGCATCATAAGACCCATTAAATCACTTCTGTTGTGTTATCACACTGTCATGTACTTCCTGAGACAAATCAGAGCATGTAACATGCCAGTTAATTAATGATGAAATTTTTTTTTTCCGTTTCCTGCAGTGCGTTATAAAGCGCAGCATTTGGTAGTCGGGTGGAGGAAGACACACAATGAGTAAGCCATTAGCTCAGATTTTTCTTGACTTAAGCTGTTTTTTTTTTTTTTTTTTTTTGCAGTTGTGAACTGATATTTTCATGCACAAGGTTAATCTCCAGGACTCTGTGAACTTAATTCAAAGTTCTTTTATCTCACAAGAGTACAAAGAAACACAGCTTGGCATTTGTTTTCTTGAAGCTGCTTACCAAAAGGATTCTACACAGAAGTGAACATTTGCTCTGTTTTTCAGCTAACATCTATGATAAGACGATCCCCGCTTTTATCCCCCCCAATAAAAATGGTGTGGACAATCAATCTTTTGAAATCGAGGTAAGTGTCACCTTTCATTTCTAAAGAAAATAACACAACATGACTTTGTTTTTAATACTTTTTTCTTTCTTTTTTTACTTAATTTTAATTTTAATGTAATGTAATTTTTAGGAGGGCAACATTACTGGTACTGGCAACATACAAACACCGACTGAAAAGCCTAAAAAGGGACTGGGATTATACTTGAGGTCAGTTTGAAGGATAAGAGACTGGAGTTTGTAAAACAACATTATGTCTGTCCAGTGTTTATCATGTGTACATTGTATGTATGTTCATAATCTGTTCATGCATGTGCTACTGTAATCTTTGTGACTATTGAGACTTGGTTGTATTTAAAACAAAATACTAACTATCTATGGGCAAATACTGTATATATTAATTGAAAATGAAATGTGGAATTACAAGAAACACATTTTTTATTGACTCAAGAGAAACTTGTTTGAAACAGAAATATATATTTGTTCACAATTAGACTTATAATTTGTTCTGCACTTAGCCAAGTTTCCAAGCCGATTAATGTCACAGAGGATTACATCAAGGCTCATTCAACAACCTTCAAATACATTGCGCTGGGAATACTTGGAGCAGGTAAAAGTCATGTTAACATTTTGCAATTTGTAGCAGTGTATTCAGTGGTGGCACCCTGCACATATTGGGGGTTTATGATATTTCTGTAGAACACTGACAAAATCGAAATAATCACCTAAATATTGACAATAATATTTTGATCAAACACTTGTTCCTTTTCTGTAGGTTATGTGGCGTACTTCATTGCAGCCTGTGTGTTGGATTTCCAGAGAGCCACTGCTCTGGTAGTCCTAACCTGCTTGGCTGTTGTTGCTAAATCATATGCACTTATCAAGGAGTACAAGGGTGAAAGAATCAGTCAGTGTTTCAGACCTGCAGCCACATGGTTTAAACAGAACCTGAAATGGATAAAATGGTGAGTGGATGTCTTGTTTTCAAATGTGTAATAAGAGCTACTCACAATGGCAAGTGTTGATTGTGGTAGAAATTATTATTATGGCTATCCATTCCTCCAGTGCAAGTGAGAAAGACTAAATGAACTTACTCCAGTGATGTCTTTTGTGATTATAAGGAAAGGATAAGATAGCAAAATGAAGATCTGACCTCATCTAGCTACAAAAGAAATAATGAGCAGTTTTTCCATGTCTAGCTTTTCCTGCGAGGCATACTCATTAGTACAAACATAGAAACCTTTATATGTGTATGTAGGAATGAATATAAGGAGAATCTATGCATATATGTATAATATATGTGATATAATATATGTATGAATATATAAGAATTATATATAAGGATAAGGATACAGTTGATGTTACATTAATAAATGAAGGTGTGTTTTAAAAAAAATGTGTTTTACAGGGTTTTTATCGTTGTGGTTGTGATTCTGCTTGTGGTGTGGCTCGCTTTAGACACAAGCCAGCGCCCTGAGCAGCTTATCTCATTTGGAGGTGTGTGCATGTTCATCGTACTTGTATTCCTCTTGTCAGCGCACAGAACAGTGGTGAGTGTTGCACTGAGTCAGCCACTGACTCTGCTCAGTGATGAATAATTATGCGATCATAGCTGTTTTGAAGCCTGCTTGGGTTTTATCTCTGACATGTTTTGCTGAATCTCTGGATATGACTTGGGCCTGGGCTCTAATCTTACAGTTTATCAGAAGTGCTTTCTTGAAATAACACCGGGTTTTATGGAGACTACCTGACAAACAAATACTTTCTTTTTAAAAACCTTTTTTAGGTGTCATGGAGGTGTGTGTTTTGGGGTCTCGGGATGCAGTTCTGTATGGGCCTTTTTATTATCAGGACAGAGCCTGGGCTCATAGCTTTCAAATGGCTGGGAGACCAAGTGCAGGTATTACACTTGGATTACCATATTTAACATTAACAGGAAATCAATTGTAAATACTATCTATTTACAAAATATTAATAACATTCAACAATGTACATTTCATATTCAACTTATGGTGAGTCATATGTACTGTGTATGTAAGACAATAAATATTATAGTGACAAATAAAACAACAAATGAACAAAAACAACAATAAACAACAATAGTAGTATTGCTGTAAATGTATAATCCAGCATTTCTTTGCACCTTGTATTTTACTTGTGTGGCACAGTGTTCCTTTTTTACCTGGGCACAGTATCTTTAACTGTGGATCATATATGCTTATCTTTATTAGGCTGCTCCCCCTTATTCTTGAGTCATCCAAGGGTTGAATTCAATTATATCAACAAGTAACTGCATCATAAGTATTGCAAATGAATGGAGTAAGGAAACAAATAATCATTTGAAACATATAACACATTCCTTCTACAGATATTCCTCAACTACACCAAAGCAGGGTCAGAATTTGTTTTCGGGCCTCTGGTTGCAAATATTTTTGCTTTTCAGGTAAGTGGATGAGTGAGGAATCATGTATCTTTTCTTTAGGCACTTGTCCAAGAAGTTATTAAGCTGAATGTGTTTAACTTTAGTTTTGTGAATTCATCCACAGGCTTTGCCCATTGTTGTGTTCTTCAGCAGTGTGATGTCAGTCCTTTACTTTCTGGGGATAATGCAGATGATAATCCTAAAGGTAAAAGAAAAGGTTAACCTTGTACCTCACAGCGTTATAATGCTCCTATGGATATAGGTGTATATTGTTTGCACCTGCAGTGATACAATATACTATGACAAAGAACCACGTGTTTTTGTCCACACAGATCTCATGGATTATGCAGATAACAATGGGAACCTCTCCGACAGAGACCTTAAGCGTGGCAGGCAATATATTTGTTGGACAGGTAAACTTTGAAAGTTCATGAACTTGAATCTCTGGTACAATAGTATTATGTTTACATAAGCATCATTAATAACTGTAGTAAAAAAGAAAAAGCCTAAAGTTACTCTGCTTGTTTATTTTTACATTATGTTTTTTGTGCATTAGACTGAAGCACCACTGCTGATCCGTCCCTATTTGAAGGACATGACCAAATCTGAGATGCATGCTGTGATGACTGGTGGATTTGCCACAATTGCAGGCAGTGTCATGGGGGCATTCATCACACTGGGGGTGAGATCAAACTTTTAAACTGCATTTAAATAGTCTAATCTCATATAAAAATGTAATTAAAAAATCTAATAGAATGTGTTTCACAAAAGATGAAAAACATATACAAAAATGCAAAACACAGAAACATTAAAAACCAAAAAAATGTATTTTATAATAAATTTGTGTTGTGGGTGTATATCAAAGTAAATATTTTTAGATAAAAGCAGGTTTACATTTTCTTTTAAAAGTTATAAGCAAGCAGGTTTTTCAGTTTTGATCCTGGCTGCAGGACTTTGAACCAGCTGTCTGATAAGATGCATGTCTGATAAGATTCGAAGGAAAGTGAATAGTGCAGTTCAGTAATCAAGATGAGTGTAAATCAGGGATTTTCAACCAGTGGTTCATGGGCCTCTGATGGTCTGCGAAGGCATTGAGGGTCGTCCATGACCATGCATTCAATAATGTAGTTTCACTGTAGGAATAATTTTTTAAATTTTATTATTAAACACATTTCCATGTATTTCTTTTTGTTTGTGAAAAATCTAATTCATGCAAATATTTAAAATGTAAAAAACACAGGGTGATTTTCACAATGAAAATAGTCCCCATCCAGTCTATCCACCCCACAGTAGTGGTCCTCAGGTTACTTCTTAGTCAGAATGGTGATCCCTGGCTCGCAATTAGTTGAAAACCTCTGGTGTCAAAACAAGAACTATAAGAAAAACTGAAATATGGAATTGGTAGTTTTGCTTAGTTGATTTATTATTTCAGCAACTGCAAATCTTCATATCATGCACATATCTAATAATGTATCTATTGCTAGTAATTTAAGTAACTTCAGTGCAGAGTGACATTTCATTATATTTTGTAGATTGATGCATCTTCCTTGATATCAGCCTCTGTAATGGCTGCTCCTTGTGCACTGGCCATTTCCAAGCTGTCTTATCCAGAGACTGACGAAACCCACTTTAAGTCTGAGAAAAATATTAAAGTGGCTTGTGGGTGTGTATATCTCTCCTTTAATTCTTTCTCATTCCTTTTATTATTATTTTCCACTTTGTGAATTGAATGATTTTTTAAAAAACTCCCTAGAGATGAACAGAACATTTTGGAGGCTGCTAGCAGTGGAGCGTCTGCTTCAATAGGTCTCGTTGCCAACATTGCAGCAAATTTGATCGCCTTTCTTGCCATGCTTGCATTTATAAATCAGGCTTTGAGTTGGCTCGGAGGTATGGTGGGATATCCTTCAGTCACATTTCAGGTATGTTTTAGCAGAAACACATAGCATAAATGCGACATTTTGATAAGGGGGAATACTTTTTAGGTTTTAAAACTTTATTTATCTTGTAAGACGTTTTCTATGATTATATTTTACAAATTATTCTGACATATATATGCATGTGTTTTTGTTGTTATTTTACAAAATCTACCTGCTTTTACTGTAAATTTATCTCAGTTCAAATCACCGTATACTGTATGTTTCTGTGTTCATAGTTAATTTGCTCTTACGTGTTTATGCCCGTGGCTTTCATGATGGGAATACCATATGATGAGAGTTTCACTGTTGCTGAACTTATTGGCACAAAACTGTTCCTCAATGAGTTTGTTGCATATACGCAACTTTCTCAGTTGAAGGCCAACAGACTCAATGGACTGGATGAAATTGTTGGAGGTCAAAGACAGTGGATATCTGTGAGTAAATGTGCTCAGCTATAGAGTTTGAATAAATGTGAGTTGTGCCACAAGTATAAATTCTGCAAAAGCAATGTTAAGGTAAATGATTACATGATTTTGTTTTTTCAGGTCCGATCAGAAGTAATTACCACTTATGCTCTTTGTGGGTTTGCCAACTTTAGCTCACTGGGTATTATGATTGGTGGCCTGTGTGAGTTTTTTATCACTCCGTCAAATTTTTGTCTTACTCCCAATATATCAGTAATAATTCCTGACATAAAGTTTATTTATTTATTTTTAAATTAAAGCCTCTATATGCCCATCCAGAAGAGGGGATATTTCATCGCTAGTGCTGAGAGCTATGATCACCGGGACTTGTGTATCTCTCATCAATTCTTGTATTGCAGGTAAGCGCTTTTGACTTTTTAAATCTCACGCACTTGTTTTAATGCATCTGTAGAACACACAGCAGTGCGTTTTAACTCAGTAGCTCCCACTTTGTTTCCCAGGGATCCTCTTTGTTCCTCCGCTTGACTGTGTGGCGCTGTTCAGAGCATCTGCTTTCAATGCTACAGATGTAAACATTGGAACTTGTTGTAAGGACCTCTTCTTACAAAGGTATGCATTTACTTTTTCAATACACAATGTTTTCAGGTGGCTAAACTAACTAGTGAAAATCAGTGACACGTGGATTTAATGGACTTTAAAATATGTATTCAGCCAGTGAAATATCTTTTAGTTATATGGGTTGATTGTATTTGTACTTACGTCTCCAAATAATTCTTTTGCAGCACAATAAACAATGGGACCATTTCATTTGAAGGATCATGGAACACTGTAGCAAATGCCACTGTGTTTTTCTCTAAATGTTGTGAGTGTTGTGGTCTTTCTCATGCAAACGTTTGCAAGTAGTGAAGTTTCTAAGTTTATACTTAAATTCACAGATATGTTGTTGTTTACATATTTTTGTCACACTTCTATCCTTTTAGGATGAATGTATCGTTTATATATTATATTGTAAGTTAATTCTCATATATTATTTTATTTAAAGCCAATGATTAAAAGGACATTTTAAGAGATATAACTCAGGGAATAGTCTGGCATTAAATATTTAAAACAAAATTTTATTCAATTACTGAATTGACTTTTTGGTGATTGTACATACAGTTGTGCTTTAAAAAAAAAAAAAAGCTATGTAAATGAAAATGTAAATTTGGACACAAATGTTTTACACATTTATTTAAAAAACTTTTGCTGACATACAATAGCATACCAAAGACAGCGGACACTGTAAACATTTATTCCCTCACTCATTCATTCACACAGTCCCTCACACATTTATTGCTTTTATTCCCACCACTTCAAATATTTAGTTCTTTGACTGTATGTACACAAAAACACAACACAGGTTTGTTTGCATGGCACCACACCTTAACATTACAGTGATTTCACAATCATCAGCTGGTCAAATGAATTTGCTATTTAAAATACTTCCTTTTGTTAACAAGGCTTCATGCAATTAAGGGAATTTTTAAGTGACCACAGCTGAAGTTTAAGACCAGCTATTTAGACAAATTTGAAGACCTTCACTGATCATTAACCAAGAATAAAAACCCTAACAATTTCCGTTTCTAAAGGTGAATGACCTCTGTTGAAATTTAACCAATAAGACCAATGCAATCTTGTGAGATAACTGAGCAGTTTTCATTTTGTTTCTAATCCTAATGCTGAAGTTCATGCAGGCTTTGCAACTTACAAAAAAAGTATTCAAGACTGGTCTGGTTACTGCTGACCAACTATATCTTAACAAAACTTAACAAAGTGTTCAGCAAAAGGTGATGGCCAGTTGCAATAAAACATTACAGATTTCTTACAGGGAGCAGTACTTAGTGATCAGCTGGCTTCTAAAAGTCCTGAGTCTGCTCTTTTGGTTATTGTGTTCAGTGTGCTTTTAGCCTACAGTCCATCGGTGAGGTCCAAATAACTGTGGGGAACTCATGTGTTTGCATGTAATGAGCATACAGTAAGCATGGCAAAGCTGAAGAGTTTACAGGTAATCCCCTTACTGCTTATTGTTTTGAGAGTTACATTCACCAGCAGGTCTGATTTACAAAAACCCTAATGAACAGACAAAAAGTACTCACAGACTACTAAAACCTAATGCCAAAAAGAAAGTGCACACAAACATCTTTGGCCTAATAACTGTGTTGATTTTCCACAGCATAAACTCAACTTTGCTGTGTATAAAGAAATGCTGCATAGACAGTTCTAATGGTAACCATAGCACCTCCAAAATAAACTTTATACCCTACTGTACATCACAGTTGAACATGCAGCATTTAATATACATACAATACCTCAATTACTTGTGTGGCTGTGGTACATTTTATATGCCATGGTTCTTTCAATTAACACACTAAGATGTTCACATCTACCCAATGAAAGAAAAGACGGCAAAGTTTACAGTGTGAAGCGAATTTTCAGTGATGATTATTTCAAGCTGACAAAGAATGCTTGTTTATCCACTGATAGAGCTGATGAGACTCTAAGGCAAATGTTTGAAGTGATTTAATAGCATTATGTCAACTCTAATGTGGCCAAACATCAGTTTTCATTCTCTATGAGTAAAAAATCACTGTGTTTGGCATCTTTGACCTGTATGGTTGGAAGCCTTGTGCACATTGCTCCAGTTATTCTCACAAACCTTTTTAACTATAGTAAGAAGGGAAACGAAAATGGACGTTTCATAATGTTTCATAGTTGTGATGTTGAAAGAGAAATAAACATTAACTGTTTTATGACAAGCCTGGTCAGTTCTTTTTCTCATAACTCTTACTTTTCAAGTTCTCACTGACTTTAGTAGCTAGAAAGAAACTGGTAATAATAAAAAAATGAAACAGAACAGGTCCTTCTTCCTACCTCATTTCAATAGCCTGAACAGCAACTACAGGCTTGGTGTTGACATCTGATTTAATATCCCCTGTCTCTTGTACTTTTCTAGGCACCTTTGGGCTTGACCTTTTAGCCATCTGAGGGCTGCTAGATCCCAACTTACGGTTGAGCAGGGGGCTCTTGGAGCCCTTCATCTTGGTAGGCTGCTGACTATCCATAGACTTAAGGGGACGCAGGCCAAGAAGTCCACAGTAGTAGTTACACTGATGGTGTGTCAGGAACTGTTCAAATACTTCAGGAGAGCTGTACTCACTTAATCCTTGATATCTGAAATACAGGGGGCAACTTTATTCTAGCTGTTCTAATAGCAAAAACACATAATAGTGGACAAATGTATGAATTCAAATACAAACCCTTTTGACTTGGTCACAACTCCAACATTAGTGAGCTTTGTTTCAACTCCTGTAGATACAGATCAAAGATAATTATTAATGTTTATTCCTACTAATAGATAAATGATTACTTTTGTTATGAACTTGTATGTTTGGTTTACCCTCCAGCCGAGTGACAAGTAAATTGCCATGTGTCCACTGATGGATCCAGTGCTGAAAGGTGGCACATTTCTGCTCCACCTCATAAACAGTTTGTGTAACCAGTCTGCCTTTAGGATCCATTGCACAGTACTTTTGAAAGACGCCTTCAAGATCAGCCTCCACTGTGGCATATGGTACAGAGTTGGCAGGCCGGTACATCAGATATCGAGGAATCACTCTGTGGGCAACCAAAAAATTGTGGAACAATCATGAGCTGTAGATTGTACATTTTAAACAAGAATCAATTATCAGAGTTAATGTATAAGAAGCATGATACCTACTCTAGTGCACAGCCAAAATTCTCAATAACTCTTGTTTCAGCTGCAAAGATTTTACAGTATTCACGAATCATGTTTTGGACTTTGCATTCCTGGCAAAACAAAGAATTTAATGAGATAGGTGCATGTAATGCAGTTATCGTCACTAGTAATGTATCAAAGATTTGTTGACAACTCACGTGTTTAGTAATCTCTAGATTTCTCTCTGCAAGGTTGCTTCCCTGTTTGGTCCCGTAGGCGATGGGGTTTTTAATTTTGATGATGGAGGTGCGTCCAGACTCAAAGACAGGATCCAGGCCGTAAATGACCTTCACTCTGCCGGCTTTGTGTGCACAGCCCTCACCGATGTGCACCGTCTCAGTCATAATGCGGCCAAAGTACTTGTCACCCCAGCTGCCACAGTCAGCCAGGCCTTTGGTGAACAGCAGTGGGGTCATCTCGATCTCCTCCCCGACTACAAAAAGACAACACATACAGATAAATACAATAAGCAATAATTCACAAAAAGTGTAAAAAAAAAAACAGGCTGATAACTGAGAATAATTCACAAAAAGTGTAAAAAAAAACAAAAAAAAACAGGCTGATAACTGAAGAATTTACCTTCTAAATCATCCTTCAGTAGTATCTCAGACAGAACTGTAAAGCAGAAAACACAAACACTCATAACAGCATAATCTATACTGTTGGATTTAGACTGAACACTTTCTCTGGACACACTGTATCTTACTGTCTGTGCTGAGCAGGAAGTCAGTGGTGTCAGTCCCGTATTCATTATTGATCGTACAGCCATAAACCCCACAGTCCTGACTGGATGCCAGAACAATAGCCAGTGCTACTTGACTCTCATCCCCTCCACTTAAAGGACAAAAAAGGAAAAATCACATAATCAGGTCCACATCAAACTGACTGGCTTCAGCGTTGAACCTAACTTCAAAGATTCAGCAACAAGCCACAAGGTGTCACTGTGAGACATGTGCTGCGTGTGTCTGATAACACAGCAACCCATAGCACATATATAGACTTTTAATGCCCCCTGGAGATGGGGAAAATATTGTGTCAAGTTACAGTTTCTGTGTCTAATCAGAGATTCGCCTCTGTGTCACAGCTGAGGAGTTCACAGTCACATTAAGTGACGTCTCTGCAGTGAGAATATAAGAATGACACAAGACTATCGAATGAACACTGAGGCCCAAGTAAATCCTGTTGATCCATGTAACATTATTATTTTAAAGTGGGAAGCTTTTCAGATTTACCAGTCATGTTGGCTGGAAAGCCTCAGAATAACAGCAGTATAAAGGGTGACAAGCTATTAAGTTAATACCTACAACATATTTTCACCATATGATATGTTTGTTTAGGTGGTTAGAGTAGTGTTGATGTTGTAAGAGAAAGGGATTTGATTTGATTTGATTTATTTATTCTTTCAAGCATATAAAACAGTTGATATAGCAACACCCATTTTTACACACAATCCAATATCAATGTGCTTATACCTAGTACATGCTTGAATGGAGTAGGAAGAAGTCAGACTTATCCAGTCCTACCCCATGACATCATCTTACCATCATTGGTTTGCAAGCAATAAATGATTCACTTCTGCACACACACACATTATACTTTTGATTTACCTTCGCTTCAGCTCTAGTATTTCCTCCTCATCTCTGTACCACTTAATGGTGGAGTCACTGAGCACATTGAAGAACTGGCACCACAGCTTTAGGTGTCCAGAGGCATCTGGGAACGGCTCTCCCCTAACCTTACGGATGACCTGTGGAGCTGGTGGGGCAAGGGGGTAGGGGGTGCCCAGCAAAGGGCCCAAGGTCAGCGTACTGTATATTGCACTGGAGAGTGGAGATTTTCTAATATTTTTACTTCCTCAGGTGCCAGAATATTGATCAGACTCATGTTGACAAACTTAAAAAAACTATGTAAAGAATTTCACAGAACCATTTGGCCATTTTTATTTACACATATTTTGTATAAACTGGTGAAAAGATCAGATAAATTCTAATAAATAATATTAGAAATATGTAATATTTATATAACTAAGCATGTACAATATATACTGTATGCTCATGAACTTGTTACCACTTGTTCACACAACATCATAGCTTCACAAGATTAAAAAAAATCCATATTTACCTTTCAAAGGGTCTGGCTTCTTTTCAGATGGTTTCTCCTCCTTCTTGGGGCTGGTGGGCCCTTCTCTGGGTGTATCCTCCATAAGTTTCGGCACCTCCAAGGTGGCCTTTTTTCGGCTTAACAGCGGGGAGCGCCTCTCCATCGGTGGGCTTTTTGGACCAGGGGGAGTTTGTAATAATGTTGCTCTGTGGACCTGGCTGGGTGACATGTAGGGGGTGTCCTTCTTGCCCTGTGTGTCTAGCACACCAACCAAGGCACCATCTCCGTCTTCTTTAGTTTTTGGGATGAAGATTTTACGGCGAGCTCCGGAGGCCAGCTCCTCAGGTGTGGCAGAGCGTATAAGTGACAGACTGTCTCTGCGTTTCAGTCGGGGACTGCTCTCACGGGAGAGGGGGAATGTTGGTGTTGAGCTTCCGCTGAGATCTTCATCTGCCTTGTCATTCTGATGGTCACCCACAGTGATTACAGGGACAGCCTTCACAGCCTCATTGTCTGGGTCTGGGGCGGCTTTAGACGTCAGTTTGCGAAGACTGGCCGGACTCAGTGATGGATGTGTTAGAGCTTTTGAGCTGAGTCTCTTAACACAACATTTATTTCCTTGGACGTGGTCAACAGACACAAAAACCTCTATTTTGGCCTGTTTAAGAGGTTTTATCGTAAAGATTTCAAGGCCATTGCCTTCTGCTGGTTTACTGAATGATTGTACATTGTCTCCAAACTTTGGTATTAAAGCCTCATATAGCAAAGAGGGAGTTTTATCTTTTACACTATTTTCTGCCTTTTCTTCAATGTTCTGTTTTCTGCTTTGAGTTTTTTCAGGTTTTGTGATCATGTCATTGTCAGCATCATGCTTTGTTCCCCTTTGCGTGGCAACTGAAGTTTCTGTTTCTGTCAACCTACTGTGAGTGGGGAGTCTGAGTCCAGGGTCATTTTCATAACAGGTGACCGAGATTGGTGGCACCACTGGAGTTTCAAAAGGCTGCAGTGTATGTGAAGGTTGGGCATTTACACATGTGTCATCCGCTTTGTTATCAGTACATGAAACATTTATATCAGGAATTGATACATTGTCCATCTGAGGGAGCTGTTCACTGCTTTTTACATATGGCTGCTCTCGCTCAAACACTTCTGTCTCATCATCTAATTGCGCAACATCCTTTATTTTCTCTGTGAGTGAGATGTTGTAGTCATTCTGCATATCTTTCTGTGTGACCAACCAGCCTGGAGAATTAGCCATCTTCTGGTCTTGGATTATCATCTCTGACACATGAGTTGCATCATGTTTTTGCAAAATATCAGATTCCGGCTTGTTCAGTGCTAAAAGAGTCAGTGGCAGAGTACACTCTTTGAACTCAGGCTCCATTATTTCAGGTTCTGGGATTATAACATGTTCACTTGTGCTTACATATGGCACAAACTGTTTGACATTTGGAGTGTCTTCAGTGGTAGATATCTGAATCTGAGGGATATTCTCCAAGGGCCAACCCAGATGCCTCTCGCTGCCTTCTTGATCGGCAACATTACTGCGCTCCTCCAAAACATTAGTATCATTTCTCTCATTTTGTGTTGCTGAAAGCATTTGTGATTCATCCCACCACTTCCCTTTTTTCTCTGTCTCCACTTCAAACAGTAATCTCTCATTCATGCACTCATGTTCTAAAATTGTGTTCTTGTCTGTTTTTTGATTGTTAACCTCCAAATCTTTCTCTAAAGCAGAACTAAATATCTCTTTCAAGTCACTTCTCTCTTCGCTGGCTCCATAACCTGACTCTGAACTCTGTACTGCACTGAGATTGTGGCCTTCTGTTCTTTCCTCTACCGCAGAAGGAGTGCATTCACGCTCTATATTTAGGTCATCCTTCTCTAAACGTTCAGGGGCTGCAGTGGGCGGAAATCCTACATTCGTTTCCTGAATCGTTGAGACATGTTTTGCCTCTTCTTTTACATTTTCTCTCTCTGCACTGTATGCTGCCCAAGCAGACAGAGGTGAAAGCACCTGAACTGGTGTTTTAGATTCACATGGCTTTATTTCCTCTTCCAGTGAAAATGCTGTTAATTCAGTAATCTCAGATCTGTTTATATCCAAGCATGCCCCTTTGCTTGATTTCACTTCCGCTTTCTCTTCCTCACTTAACTTATTGGAAGACCAGCCTTCCTCTCTGTCATGTTTAGCTTCCGTGCCCATCTTATCAACACTTATCTTTTCTTCTTGAAAAGTTTCAGTGGGTGTTTCTCCAAGGCTGTGCCTGTCTGACACTGAAATGACACTGTGTGGGAGGGTCCAGCTTTCTTCTAACCTAGTTAATGTTGACACAGGGATGTATTCTTCTTCATGAGCTGCTTTGATCTGTGGCAAGACAAATGTATCTTCCGTGGGTGAAGACTCATCCCTTGGTAGTAATGAAACCACCAGGCAAACTGGTTCTTGCTGGTTTACAGGAGCCTCTTTGCTAACTGAGACTATTTGAGAATCTTTGTCTTCTGTCTGAGGGAAAGTAAACAAAAAAGCATTTTAGTACTTCATAACTGGTGCAGCTATAATAGTGTTTGTCTTTTACAATGAACTCCATGAAACACAGTTGTTGGTTTTACTTCTTATGCATGCAAAATGTTTCTTCCAGTTTGATGTGTTAGTGGCAAGGAGACCTAATGGAAAAATATTCAGCATCATGAGAAGGAGTTTAAACTCTTTCAAGAAGCTTATGAGCATTGTAAACAATCTGTGAACAAAGTTAATCAATTATTAGTTGAGAGCTAAACAGAAAATAGAAAAAAATATGCATAACAACTTCAGTACATCAATATATTCTTGTGCTTTTTGAACTGTCTACTTCTTTTTTTACCTCAGCCAAGTGAAACAAAGTGCACAAGTGTGTGGTAAAATGTTTAGACTTCTGAACAAACAGGTTTTATCTTTTAGTTCACACTTTTCTAAATTAAGTTCTAACTGAACATCCTTTTTATATCAAATTTAATGTCTATGATTTACAAACTACCAGTGAGTTTCAAGTGAAGTCAGTTTTTATCTGTATAATGCAACCTGTAAGGCATTAGTTTGATTTAGAGTTTCCTTATTGTACTCTGTGTCTTATGTTGGACAGGGGAGTCCCCACGTTTGACCCAGGTGTGCTGTTTACACAGAGAACTTCCTGGGCGAATGAATGAATGCTTGTCTCTCAACATTGTGACTGGTTATAACATGCATAACTGACATACTGTTAATCTGTTGTACTCATTTGGATCAACAACCATCAAGCTGGCGACAACAGCTTAACTGACAAAAAATCTGACTATAATGAGAAACTGCAAAACTCTCAATTATGATAGTCACAAGAAAAACATTCAGTTTGAGTATGCATAATACTGAAAGGAAACTGTATAGGGAAAGCTTCAAGATATTCATTGAAGTGTTGCTGGGGTTTCCCCTCCTCACTGACCCTGGTTTGCCAGTTCACACTATGAAATTGTATGCAGAAGATTAATGAAGCCATGTGCTGCCTCGTGACAGCATGTTTGACCAACAGCGTCTACTATGAAAAAACAGAAGCTGCTGCTTTCGATGGAAGGGAACTGGTATCACATTCAGTCTAAAAATTATGCTCCAGTCATCACTACAGCTCAGATGTGAGAAAACAGTTCACAAAAATGGTTTGACTTCCTCCAATTTCTCATCTATAAGGTCTAATGTTATACTAGCAAAGGTACAGTAGTTCCACATTATGGACGTATAATACAATTACTATGCAGGTGAAAAATGCTTAAACATAGTGACTTCACTTCTCTTTTCTATATGTCATTGAGCATCACATAATAGCACGCACAGTGTCCAAGTGGCTGAACAAAACTAATGACCTGATCTTATTGTCTATGAACAAATATCTGAATTTCAGTTCAATATGGCCATACAGTTTACTGCTTTTCATACACTATAAGGACTCTGAAATCAGCAGAGACAATTTAATGAAGAGTTTCAAGTAGAATCTAAGAACTTTATGATTTTATGCCTAAATGTTTTCTATTCATTTGTTTAAAACCTTCAATTCAATTTAATCAATGTTTTTTTAAAGATTTATTTAACTTCAGGGGAAAAGATCTAGGCACTGCTTTACATTATGATATAACGATGTATATATGCAGAATATTAAGAGTTTCAGCTAGATCACTTAAAATAGTTATAAAACATATTCATACTAAAAAGCCAAGACTCTCACAGTCACATGGTGAAACTGGATCAGTGCAACCACAAACACAGCAAGAGTGATAAGTCACCATGTATCACTATCAGCTTTCTCTAAGTACATAGGCAAAGACTGTACAGTGCAATAGAAAATCCTAAACCCCCACGACAGAAACAATTCAATGAGCTGATCACTGAGATGACAGAAGTGCTGTCTTCTTCTCTCTTCTTTAGATGAGGAAGAAGTCTATTTTAAGATATGTGAGGGGGCAGAGAGCAATATGCCCACTGCGAGGAGGCCCTTCTTTCAAACTGAGACCTGCCGCTGGACTCACTCTACCACTGCTCACCCAGACTGCACTGCCCTCTGCCACGCAATACCCTGTTTGGAACATGAGAATCACGCCTGACATTCAGGTTTCATCATGACGCACTGGTGTTCCACTCATTGCATCCAGCATCTGAGCTATCTCCCATCCTGTCTTACAGTGTGCAGTGTAGATACACAACATCCCCCACCCCCACACACATTCGGTGCAAGTTACCCCGGTCTTATCTCCCACATTGACTTGTTTGGCTTGTTGCTCTTGAGCGTTATCAATGCTGTCAACCCACAGCCTGACATTCTGCCAGTTGCTGATCACTGATCTTATTTTGTATATTTTAAGGTGGTTCTTTTGTCTGTCTCACACCTTCCCAAGTATGGTTTGTCATCTGCTTATTATCTACCACATTTACAACCAGCAGCAACAGCAGCGGTTCAAAGCCTAACTTATGTAATATTTGACATAGTTCAGGCTTTGGCCCTGAAGTTGCATCTCATCACTGAAATGCTGACTATATATATATAACTTTTCTGTGACAGTTAGCTAAGCTTCAAAATCACTTTACATACCTCAGTGAGAATTTGAAGTCCAGACAATGGCATTTCTTCACCTGGACTACTGCTTCCTGCTGCCACAGACACTTCCATGGCCTCCCCAACATCATCAGCCTCCTTGACACTCTTCCCTGTGGGCTCCTCTATGCTCTCAGGTGACAGTTTAGGAGCTTGTGGCAGGTGTGTGCATAGAACACTGTCTTCATGTCCATGTTCATGCATCTCCAATGACACTGACTGTTGTTGTATATCCGCAGTTGTTGAAGACTCTTTTGGTTTATCCATTTCCATGGGCACAGCATCCTCTGTGAGAGGCTTGTACATGTCTGGATCATGCTCCAGTTGCACCCGAAATGAGGGTGGCATCTCCGGTTGAGGGGACCACTCTCTCTCCTTTTTGTCAATGTGATCACGAGACTCCTTTTTACTCTTACCAAAGAAGAAGCCTTTGACTGTGCTGAGCATCGAGGAGATGGAAGTCTGGATGTTGTGGTGTTCGTGATCCTTATGAGTCTTGCCGTGAGGTTTATGGTGGGCTACTGTATACGACATCACCGATGGCCTTTCCTTTTCTCTCAGATTTTCTATGTCCATTTCCTCTTCTCTCCTTTTCTCTCTCTCATACTCCCTTTCTGGGTCTTTTTCTTGTTCTTCTCTCTCTTGCTCCCTCTCTTCCTCTTTACTGGCATTTACAATAGATATATCCAGCTCTTTTGGTTTCTCCTCTTGAGATGAGTTCTGTACCTCCTCAGCAATCTGGGACTGGAGAGTGTCTGTCAGAAATTGATCCAAAATGATTCCTTCATCATAGCAGTTTTCCCCTCCAATCCCCATCATGTGACTTATGCTACTACTGCTGCCATTAACCCCAGCATCTACACCATTTGAGATTTTTATTTTCTTTTTGGCTAAGGCTTCATCAGATGAAGGTATCTCTTTCTCCAGTCCACTGTCTATGGATGAGACCAATGCCATTTCCTTTACTTCAGAACTAACTCCATTAGGTTTTGCAGCAGCTACTTGCTGTTCCACAGCCTTAGGCTCCTTGAATACTGGCCCCTGTGGTGGTCGTGGGATAGGTCGCTTCCTCTGAGGACGTTCTAGGCTGCTCTGGCCTTTCTCTTTCTGAATGATTTCTTTATCCGCCTTCTTGATCTGCTCCTCCAAATCTCTCCTCTTCTTCTCTGCTTTCTGTTTCAGCTTGGCAAAGAACTGCTGGTGGATCTTAAACTCGTTCATGGAACCAACCTCCAAAACTCCTGAGCAGGAGACAATACCTTTGCTGTTGCTGGCTGAGGCCTGATAGATGGCTGCGTCATCCAGTGTGCAGCTGACAAACAAAAACACTTATTTCTTATATTGTAGGTACTCTGACAGTGTTATAACAAGCAACAAAATAAAAGAACTGCATTTCTACTCATTTAAACAAATGTTATAAATTATTTATGAAAGGTTATCTTACATACTTGTAAATATGCAGGGTGTGGATTTTTCCATTTCTATGAATTTCGTATTTTGGGAGTCCACAGTAGCGGTCCATTTCCATATCATCTTTATACCATTTCAGTTCTGGAACTGGGTAACCTATGGATAGAGTATAATGAACTCCTTGCCTCTGGGCAATGTACATTGCAGAGTGCTACAAAGTACTTTTTATGTGTGTTTGTTACAAACATGAGACAGTTTGTGCATGAATAGCTAAATAGAAATTATGCATGAAATAAAATACAGTATACAGGCCTTGCACATGAATGTGTTTGAGGTTGTTGCATTATATTTGCGATGGCTTACACAGGAGCAGCTGATGCTGTTGGATGGGGCCACTCATCCAACCTTAAGCAGTTAAAAACCCAAGTGTTTGCTCAAGGGGGATTTGTTGGATTTCCCCTATAATACTGTAATTCTCCAGACCTTACTGTACTATGTAAAGAGCCCTGAGATGGTTGTTGTTTTGAATTGGTGTTATACAAATAAAACTGAACTGAACTGAATATTGACAAAACAGCTTGAATATTGTATAGTGTAGCATTTAAGGAGTCATTTAGGAATAATATAAACATCTCAGTTGGTGCCTTCACAGTAAAATTCCTCATTTTAAGATTAGTCACATCCTGTTTCACAATCAATTTGAAAAGCTGCAATTACGCCAACAAACAAGAAGCAGAGGCATGCAAATAAACCTGATACCACACCTGATACCACACATGTGAACTTCACATTACAGTTTTCTGACACTGCCTTTGATTTCAAGGTGGTCTCAAAAAAGGGCTGTATGTCCTCGGCCAGCTGAGCCATGACACTGCACAATGTGCTCCTGGAAAGAAACACTAAGGCATTAGAGAGTCAGTTTCTTGCTTTCAAATAATAGTCCATTTCACAGTATTTCAGGGATCCCTTCACGCCTGTGCAGTACATTCCAATTATTTGGGAAAGGGTGGTAAAGGAAATTTCTAGAAGTGAATAGAGGAAGAAAGAATGATATAGAGGCTCGTGAGTCAAGCAAAACAAAGTTGTCAATCTAACACCAAAAACCGATGTTCATCACTGAAACTGGACAAACTGGATGCTTACATTACAGTTAAAATGATTCAGTCTTGAGGTAAACCATTTTTATGGTTAAAGTGTTAGTTGGGAGGAATGTTTCACAAATATAGATTACCTCATGGGCCTGTAGTGAGAATACCTTGAATAGCTATTCAAAAGGAGGCAAATGAAGGGATGTCAGTGATTAATTAAGATCTGCAAATATGGAAACCACCTAAATAAAATAGTTTAATATCTACCCTACTTTTTGACAACTTTGAGAACTTTAGAATTCTTATGATCTGTAAATTAGAAACACATATAATTTATGTGATTAATTCGAATAATGACCCACAAATAGATGAGTTCAACAGTATAGCTTCATTACTTAAATATACAGGTACATTTCCATTATGGTCTTTCTGTCTGACCTACATGCTCTTTCTTGAGCACCATCCAATACAAATCAGTTTAAAAAATAAAAATCTACTTCATAAGAGACAAACAAACAAGATTTACCTGCTCTCCATATACATGGATTGTATATGAGGTTGTTTACCTGTTTTCAGGCCTAACATGTGAGATGTAAGGATTGCGGCTTTCTAGACGGATATTGGACATGCTGCCCTCCTCTTCACCGAAGCCGCCTGTCCTCCCATTGGCAGAAAAAGAGCGTGTCAGTGGCCTTCTGGAAGTCATTGTCTTCTGTAGCACTTCACAAAAACGTTAAATCCGGGATATATCACCCACACTATAAAACCCCTCACTGTTCACATCCACAGCTTGTGAAAGTTCAAGGCTCAGCTTTTATGGTACTACCCATGTAAAAGCCCCTGGAGAGGAAAAAAAGGAAACCTTTCAGAAGAGTAACAAAGTAACAACACCTGATGAAAGTTAAAGAAAGAAAGTAGGAGATATCTCTGGGTTATTTACTTATACTAAACTCATATAGACATTCCAGACTCAATATGTCCTTTCTGACCAAGCAAAGTACTTTCATGAAGCAAGTTATAAATAGTACTCAGCTATGAGATTGTGGAAGGACTGTTAACGATTCAACACAAGCCTAAGACGTACTATTCACTTTTATGTGTTAAGAATATAAGTCTGGTGTTTCCTGGTCACTTTAAAACATGGTATATTTTCCAGCTTACCTTTGAGATGTTGTCAGTGTTGCCTTGGGGCCCGAGTCTGTGAGGAAAATCTCTGCAACTGCCTATCATAGACACACGTGTTGCCAGCAAGAGCCTATTTATAGCGGCCCTACAAATAGGTGCAAGGGCACATCAGAGTTTCCAAGGCTAGACTTTAAACTTAGCAAAGAAGTCTGAAAAGTAAACTGAATTTCGAGTAAAAGCTAACAATTTCAGCCAGAAAGTAGACATAAAAACTCGTCATTGCACCATTAGTCATACAATAACATTTTCACTGCTTTGTTTTGATCTGTCTTAATAAGATAAAAAAGAGGGGGTGCCCCATCCCAATGAGCTACTGTAGTGGAATAGATGTGGGCTTATAAAACATGTCTGAGGAATAGAGTTTATAATGTAGCTGATGACAACCAGTGGTCTATGCTTTGCTGAAGAGTTGCTAAAGGACAGCCCCACCTCTGTTCATATTGCAACACATGGTCAAAACACAGTGACCTACTTGCTGCTCATATTTCCAATCGATTAAACAAAAACAGAGTCAGCTGACAGAATCTACACTTTGATTTAAGAGTATTTTAGAATATTGATATGTTAGTTATATTGTCGTTCTCAGCTGGTCTTATTTGGTTATATGGTTTTCAACAGTTCTTAAGTTGTTTTTAGGATTAAATCTTCTATACAACCGTATATGTATGCATTTACAAAAACAAAAAGATTTTAGGCTTTCCTGGACAAATAAAGATTTATTAAAATGAGCCTAAAACATGTAGTTTAAACAAACATGATAATTATGGAATCACAAACTCAATTAGGCCTTTTAAAAATATAGGCTACTCCACATTTTATACACATTATATTATGGACGTAAATATACTGTCCTAAAGTTACGTGCTATGAGGTTGGGTAATGGATTTGAGGGTCTTTTTCTGTGTAAATCAGCGGGCCCTTGATTGTAGCTATCTTCTCTATCACAGTGAAAAGACTCCAAACAGTCTCAGTCTGTGATTGTACAACATGTAACAGGCTAGACTGCTCATTACCACAATGTCAGAAAAAAATGCAACCGCTTACATCTCACTTAGGTTTATATCAATCTAAACGGCGCGGAGGTCGACTGTTTGTGTGTTTTTCAACTTAAAACAAATTTTTCTCTACAATTAATAAGAATATTTATGGTTTTTGAGTGCAGTACAGATGAGAGGTTATTTTAGATGCGCCCGTATTACCGACTTAACGGTAATGTGCGTGCTCGCTGTCTTGTTCCGGGAATGGGGCGAGTTTACTCGCTATAATTTAAGTTATGAAGACTGCGAGGAGGAAAATATACTCTGGCTGAGGTCCGACAGCTGCTCAACTGGTACGAGGCTGACGACGGGTATGCACTGAAACATGGACATATTGAACGCTGAGAATTTTCTTTTCTGAATTAAGACATTTCTTACAGTTTACGATCCCTACAGTATTATGCACAGCGGTGTGGGTACTGTATAGTTAAAGGTGACTTCACAAGAAATGAGAAGTTAGGGGCTGAGTAGAACATTTATAGTGGTTTCTAGTTTACAGAGAAATCCCACTATCATCTACTGAATAGTTCTCTTAGGTCGTGGCTTTGTGTTTTAGGGCGCTAAGTTACTATAATGACAGGTTAAATAACAGCCTACAATTTTTAAACTTTGACTCAATTTCTTACAGTCTGGTAGGGATACAAGAAGAGAATGATCTGGTGACTGGATCCCGTCCTAAACCCTGCCGAATAATGATTAGAGGTATGTTATTTCTCCACACAGCCATAGTACGGTGCATCTTTTCAACATAGTGTGATTTCATATGGCTGAGATTGTGATTTGATTTGTTTCAGATATTGTCATTGTGCGTCACCCTGTCTCTGTGTGTGTTCCTGTGAACCACATGGTGACTCTGAGCGTCTGTGCTGAAGGCACAGGTGTCCTCAACTACCAGTGGTTCACCGAAGAAAACGAGGTATGTGGCTTTGACTGTACATGAGTTACAAAGGCTTTGCAGTTTAAATCACCATGCCTTTTCATTTCCTTCACACATATTGGAATAACACTTTATATGTTGTTATGAGAATTTATCAATGCTGGATGTTTACTCTGGTGCATAGGCTTATCTTGGCTTAAGCATCCATTTAAATAAGGAATTAACTAATAGGCCTACTGATGACACTGGAAATGAGTAAAATAATAGAGAGATCATTTGGCCACTTGCAATAATCCTAATTACTTAATTTTGTTTCTCCTGCCATTAATATTTCTATACTTACTTATAATTATAATCATTTTTTACAAGGTGTCTGGTGGTACTAAACCTGACCTGACCATCAGAGCCCAAAAGACTCAGCTCTATGTGTGCCGAGTGAATGACCACTTTTGTAACTGCGTGTTCAGCGAATGGCTGAAAGTGAAGGTGTTGGACATTGATAAATCAGGTATGCATTGTGCCGTTCTCATGTTGATTTCTATTGTTGTAGTGAGGTGCTCGCATTCATTTTTTGCACACTATTGTTTACACATTTAAGATTTCAGTTGTTTGCATAGCCTAGGCTTGTCGTCTGACAATAAGTCAGTTATGCATGTATGCGTAGCTAGTTTACTGTTGGCCTGTGGGTCTGAATGTTGGTCTCTCTCTTTTCAAACATCAGGTTTGCCAGTACACTGGCAGGGTGAACCGCACATCGCTGTCAACCCTACACCACAGACAGTCCGACAAGGTACAAAATTCACTCTCCGCTGTGTTGCCTTTGGCATCCCCACTCCATACTATCAGTGGTACAGAAATGGGCAGCTGCTAGCAGACATGACTGGTGATACACTACAGGTATGGAAGGATGACAACAGTGTTTATGTATGTCACTGCTGATAGTAACTCTTTACATTGTATTTCTTTTACTGCTTCATTGCACTGCCAAAGGTTTTGATTTATGGCTGGGTAATCTTGCACGAGGAAGAACGGGCAGAAAGGAAAACTGTATGATTTGTTGTGATATGTGCAGATTGACTGTGCAACAGCTCAACATGGGGGATCATACCTGTGCTCAGTATCTAATGTGCTGGAAGAGCGATGGACTGAACCAGTGGATGTTGACATTGGTAAGTCATTAATGAAAGACGGCTTCCCAGTTTTAGTACTGTATATTCCTCAGACTTCCTCCAGTTCTCATGAAAGCACTGAAGAACAACAAATTTTCTTCACACTCCTTTCATTATACTGATTTAGCGCTGAGGCTTTAAGTTGTTTCCATTATGCTGGGGGTACTTTCCCATTTCTACAAACTAAAAAGGAAGTTGTTAGACTCCAAACAGCCCTTGGTCCAAACCCTAACACACAACAGGAAAGTGATGCAAAATGAAACTACGTCTGTAAGCATTTCTCCTGTTTGTACACAGTATCAGGAAAAAGAAAACAGTTGTTAAATTTTGATGTGTACCACCACTTTAAATCAGATTTTTGTTTGAGAAATACTTATTTTGTACTTCTTTTTTATATTTTCTAGTACAAACTGATGAGCTACTTCCTGCTCTACCTACAGGTATGGTTTTATGAAATCACTGTCAATCCACACTATTTTTAGTGTGCTGAGAGCAAAGCTGAAGTAATATGTATAGGAATTTCCTTGTATTGCTATAAATAGAATTCTATTTTTTTTATCTTTGTTTTAGCTGCTGATAAAGTTGCTCTGCTTATTGGCAACCTGAATTACTCCCACCACCCGACCTTGATGGCCCCCATTATGGATGTGCATGAGCTGGCCAACCTGTTACGGCAGCTTGACTTCAGAGTGGTTTCCCTGCTGGATCTCACCAGGGAGGAGATGCTGGCCGCTGTTGACAAGTTCATTCAGCTCCTTGACAGAGGAGTTTATGGTGAATATTATTTTCCTGTACATACATTTTTTTTAATTCCCTACATTTGTCAGTTGATTCATGAATTGAACTGTTGTCCTTGTGGAAAAACTGACATACGAATTTCAATTTTTAGAGTATCTGAAATATAACATTGTAACTTCCTTTGTTGTTCCATGCACCTTTAACTGTTATTGTCCACTTGTCATGGGTTAAAAAAAACACTGGTTGTTTGTAATACTTTGCAGTGTATGTATTTTTGGCTGAGTGGGCAGATTAAGGGTAAAAATAAGCATAACTGTATCTAGCTGTCTAAACTGTAAGTGTCACTTCCTGAGTGCCTGTGACACTTTGACAGGGTAGATTTATTTACATTCAGCCAAGTTTCTGTCAGTTCTATAAGAATATATAAAGAAGAGAGATGGGATTACAGTGTACAGTATGATGGCATTCAGTGATTCATAAGCACTGACAAATTAGTCATATTGTTCAGAGGAACTAAGACACTTAAATAGCAAACAGGTATGCAAGTACACAGTTTAATCATACAGATCTCATATGAAATTGATATTGGAATTGTATTGATAAAATTAAAATGATAATTGTCATGCTGTATCAGAATGAAACTTGCTGTTACTACTCTCTCTGTCCTCATGATAATAATGAAACAGAAAATCGAGAATGCACAGGTTTGGACATCCTACTGTAAAGAAATCGGACAACTTTTTCAGTTTAACATTTCTCAAAGCTGCTCCAAAGATTATATGTTATTTATATTAGGATTGCAGAATATGTGTAGTTCGAAATGAGATTATTGCAGCTGTTATGTTCTTGCATCAGTAACTAGATGTGTATCACTATTCACAGGCCTTTTCTACTATGCGGGTCATGGGTATGAGCGTGCTGGCAGGAATTACTTGGTTGCTGTTGATGCTCCACACCCGTACCAACCTAAACACTGTGTCTGCGTGCAGAGGGTCATGCTCAGTATGCAGCAAAGACAGACTGCACTGAATATAATCCTACTGGATACCTGTAGGAAATGGTAGGGCTTCTGTTTTCATTAACAGATGGTAGTGACATGTCGATTTTCACATTTATTTGTAATATGATTATTATTCATATTACATTTGTATAATGAAAACTATCAGATGTATATCAGTTGATAGAAGGATTTATTGTGACTGCGTTATTCTTCTAAAAACTGCATTTCACTTTCTAAAGGTACAACCTGGCTGGCACACCTTCAGAGATCAGGCCATTAGAACCCAGTGGGAATACCGTTTACGGTTATGCCACGTATGTGCTTTTTATTAGTTGGTTTAATAGTTGCAAAGCCACTGATTTAATAATGCAAGTGCAATTATTATTTGCCTATGGCATAAGAATATTTTTTTCAAATCAGTCAACATGCAGTAAAATGGAAAGTTATACATTTTAAAAAAGTATAACTAAATCTTCAGATATCTATGTTTACATAACATTTCCTTTATTAACTACCGCAGATGTGAAGATGCTGAGGCGTTCGAAGTCCAGGATGGAGGGAAAAGTACTGGAATCTTCACTAAGTACTTGAACAAGTACATCCTAGTGAGCGAGAAGGTCACACATGTGTTGGAGAAGGTGTCTGAGGGTTAGTATTTCAACAACAACAACAACAAAAGGCTGTGGTTTTGGTTTGAGTAAAGATGTGGTAATATGAATAGGTCTAGTTTTGGTGGCTGTTGTGTTTTTAGTTGGTGAATGGACATATGGTGGAATTAGTTGTTGAAAATGGACAAATCTATGGCTGATACTTCAATTATTATTGTAAAAGTAAAGAAGAAGACCACTCCACAGTTGAGTAAGCTGATTGTTCTTGCAGATCCAGGGTAAACAGACCTGAGGGGAACAGGTTGGTCTTTGGTGTGCTGGGTGGACCATGGGCATGTTTTATAACCACTGGTAACTCATTTTAGTGTTGTTTACTCAGTTTAGCTTTAACTGAGCATGGAAGGGGAGTTAGCAAGTTGTCCCATCTTGAGAGCATGTTTGTCTGTTTAATGGATCTCTGGTGGAATCATGTTCAAGGTACCATTAGCATGTGACCTCATTCTTTGGAAATTCACACTTGGCTACAGAACAGCAAGAAACCTGAGAGCTGCAGAGGGCAAGACAGCTGCTCTGCCGTTTGGGCACCCTCTGCCACTGCTCTCACGGGTTCACTCGCAAATCAGTGCTTAGCAGGACAGGACGCCCAGCTGACAGAAGTGTGTGCTTGTGTGTGTATGTAGACACTTTCAGGTGAACAAGTAAACCACTGGTTATGAACATTTCACAACAGGTTTTACCCCTCTTACTTTTAGCTATGTACTTTTAAATTTAAATCAAAGAGCTACTATATTCGGAGTGCCTTCGAAATTCTCGAGCCTCTGTTTCTGATACTTGTTCATCATGTCTGGGACTTATTTGGAGATGGAAAAAGAGATGTAGATGATGAGCTGGTTGCTCTTCCATTACGGGAGCACAGTCAAGACCCAAAATATTCCTGGCACAAAATCTTCTCAAAAGCCAAGCACAAATCAGTATCAGATATTTTTTTAACATGGTCACTACTGGCCAGCCATTCCACCCTGTTAACCTTTTAATGATTCCTGTATTTGAATGTAATAAATCTTGTATAGAAGGGGTTTCCCAAAACTCATTTAGCCCAGTCAGTTACAGAGAATATTAACTCTTTTTTCAGATTTCCCCAAGTTCCTCAAAGCCAGCCATGCGAATCTGATGAACCTTTTTCTAAAACTCAATCCATCCTACACTCAACAGACTGTTAGCACACACAGTGTTGTAGTTGGTAATTATTTTGCAACTATTTATTAGTTCTAGCAAATGTTGAGCTCTTAAAATTGATCAAAAGTGGACTGAGTAAAAATACGGGAAATAACCCTGGAATTTTAAATGTGAAATTGCAGTAGAGATTTGTTTCCTGGTCTCATAGGCAGCACATTTACCTGCATTTTCTTCATCTGTCTACATCAGATCTAGGCAGAGATCCTCTTGTCAAGGGCAGGCAGGCAGTGGAGATCAGACACACCCTGAAGGAACCTCGATCCCTTGCAGATCCAGTTCAGACCACCAGGCATACAAGAGAACTGCACCTGCGAGAGGCCAGCTGGAGACAAGCAAATGGTGAGTTAGGAGACCTTCTCCCCCCCTCACCCCGATGTTTTGTACTTTTTCTTATACTTATTAAATACCAGGTTGAATTGCACTGAAGACAGGGTATATACCCACGTTTCAAATATAGCTTATTTTCCTTCAAAGGAACCATTGTTTCATTTCTCAATCAGGTGAACCCCTGAGTGAGACAGACAAGTTGTTCTGTAAACTCTTCCTCACACCTCCTGAAGTACAACATGTGACAAACCATATGTCATTCAAAAGAATCCTGATTGTTTTAGACAAATCAAAACAGAGAAGTTGTAAATTTTATTTTGTGCATTTTCCTGTTTGATGGAAGAAAGTCATCTTTATTACCTTGTAACTTCCTTAAATTTACTTTACCCTTTGTAAAATGGAATCTTGATATTGTGGGCTAATCTGAGAATCTCCTCCGCCTCCTTCAGACTAGATGAAAGATAAAAGTCTGCAGCTTAAATTAGCAGAGCAACTGAAAAATTCCCAATGTGGTTAATCAGTGATTCACCAAAGTCACTGCCTGTTTGCAGTTTAATATCACAATAATAGTAAAGTACAGTGAAAGAAATACTATTGTACAGAATTTTTTTTTAGTCTTTAAAAAAATCTTTTTCATATCTCCTTTCAGAGCTACCACGGAAGAAGCAGCTGATGTTTCTTTGCGGAGTAGAAGTGGAAGTCAGCTTCTCCGCCCTGTTCTCTAATGTCTTGTTGGCCTTTGCCACTGTAAAGACTACAAGCCCCCGAACGCAGGACTGCACTGTCACCCTGAGCAGCATACCTGTAAATATTTATTTTTACTTAAAACTGTCACACCATAACAAGTTTTTATAGGAACCACAATAGATTTATACAGAAAGACACAGAACACACAGTAGGTTAGTAAGTTAGTAAACTGGGGTTGAAAATTGGGTTGAAAAATTGCAAGATGTGTTTACATCATAAATTCCATGTTGCTCACCATAGCACACAGTCACTTTCCATTAGACAGCAGAAGTTTCACACTGATGACCATTCACCACATGTTTCATATGTCTAAGGAAGTTCTGCCCATATATAGACTTCCAGCCTGCTGCAACCACAAAGTACAAAGTAGGAATCATAATGTGTTACTGGTCTCTTAGACTGCAAAATCTTGGAGCATACTGACATCTAGTGGCTGATTCATTAAGCTGTTTCTTAATACAGGGAGTATGTATTTATTTCAATAAACATAGCTGACAAATAGTAATGATACAAATAAAATGTTTTATGCTCTAAATCCTCAGACAATGGAAGACATAATTTCCGGCCCTGGAAGGTCAGAGAACATGGACTCTCTACTATTCAAGAATTCCAATAACCCAGACTGTACTCTTAGGCTTTGTTGTCTTCAGAGGCTTAAGGTATTCGGTCAATGATACTGTATGCCCCAGTTCACTTCCTATGAACTGTTATTTAAAATCAGTAACTCATTACAAGAAATTCTGTACAATAAATGTGAAGTAATTTTGTTTGTCTTATGTCTTTGTTAGGAATCGCTGGTCATCAAGGTGGAACTACACTATACTCACACAGGCAGTAAGCTCCGGCAGACAGAAAGCCAACAGGTGGACATAGGAAAGCCTCTGGTGGCATCCTGTAAACTGTACAGGAGGATGAGTCATGCAGCAACAGACAAAAAATATGAAGGTGCTTCTGCTCAAAGTATGAGAAACATTTCAAGCAGCAAACGACTGCTGCACCAGACACTGGCTGGTCCATGTCGCCCCTTCACCAGAAAGGCAGAGTGTGCTGCAAAAGTTGCAGTGGCAAGGAGCAACGAGCCTGAAGAGAACGATGAGAATGACCTGCAAGTCATGTTCTGACATTAGACAGTTCTGGCCTTATTGCTGTAAATACTAGCTTGAGATTTGTATGTTATATTTGTGTGATTTACTTACTTTACTTGCCTGTGGAGGGTGATAAATGAATGATATTTGTGTTTAGCTTGTTTTAACCTTCAATTCTTAGCTCAACACTGAAGAAATATTATCATTTTTGCTAACCACTGGCTTTATATACATTACATAATACTTGTACAATCTTAAGTGGCAAGCTGGCTGGCCTAATTTATTAAACAATGACCATTACTGTCTATAATTTATAATCACTACTGATTAAACTTTTTACTCTGAAATCAACAGTGTAAATGTTACTGGGTTTTTTAATGGAACACTAAAATTATCAAATAACACCAAGTTCAAAACGGATAAAATATAAGTACAACTGTATCATTTGACAGGGATAGTTTTCAATTTTTCAGCACTTATTTCATCCAGCATAATCGACACCATGTCTACAGTTACAGGGAGAATTCGCTGCTCAGCAACTGACTGGGGTGTGTTGTCTCTAAATATCTTCTTAATTTGTTGGTTCTCATGCCGTCTGCTGCCAGCGGCTTAAGACACAAGACACACATGGGTCTGTCCTCTGCCCCCACCATTCCCACCGTGAATCCAAGCGCAGGATAGGCTTCATCATATTTTCTTTTCATCTGGCTTTTTGGTTGATAAGGCTACTGCCTGTTGTTTCTTTGTCTGCTTGCGCTGAATCGCCTACCTTTTGTGTGGTCCATGTAACATTTATCCATTTACGTTATTAAGCCCACTACATACACTATTAACCCTCCCTGTGAACGTTTCCTTATATTGTTGCGCAGCAGTTAACATGCCGACGTTAAACCGTTATTGTTGCACTATGGTTCCACTTTTTCTCCCGGGCCCCAAACTGATGTTATTTTAATTTACTTGTATTAATGACCCATTTCTAATTTTCCCCGTTCATTGCGTGCCTGTCATGACTTTACTCCCCACTAGTGGGGCGCGCCCCACACTTTGAGAACCACGGAATTAGTGGATAAGGAAAACACAGTTATTTTCCAGTTGGGGTTTCAGTGTAGTCCTAAAAGTAAAAGAGTAGTGTAAACATATGGTTGTGTGCAAACCTAGCACATTATGGGCAAATTACACAGTTGTTTTGTTGAGTTTTTAAGAGAGGTAAGGTAAATACAGTCATTGCACCAGACATTAGAAAATGATCTTTTCTTTGAATATATCACCGGTACTTTTTCATGAACTAAAAAAAAAAAAAACTAACTGGAATTTGCAAAATTTCCCGAAATAAAAATAAAAGTGCACTGTCAGTTAAAAAAAGGCTCGTTTTACATACAACTTTAAACTATAATTAACCTATATAAATGGTAACTTATTTTACTAAGGACGGTAGCATGTGTTTAGAGCATCCTGTTGACTGAAAAACTGCGAATATATGCGGTTTAAGGGGCATGATAAATATTAAATGTTGTATTTATACACGTTTTTTTATCTTGTGAAGGGGCAGCTCGCAGTAGGTCACTGCAGTAAGCAGAAGCTAAACGCTAACGTTCCTTCCTTTGGTCACTGTCGCAAATCTGCTACTGCAATTTTCAACGTGTTAAAATACTGTGTCGGGTTCTGTAACGGTCTATAATGTTCCATACAGGACTGTAACATCGGCTGGGCAAATGAAGGAGCAGGAGATAGGAGTACCCTTTTAACCCTTTTTCATTTTCCGCCCTGGCAACCGCACAGAAACACCCAAAATCGGTAACACACCCTCTGCACACTCAACCGCCCCGCCAAAGAAATGTAATAAAAGTGTCTCTCTGACTCCAACGCTACAGAATAGACCACCCCAATACCAGACCCTGGTTTATTCTTATAGAGAATTGTTAGCCCGCCTCACAACAACCCAAATAGCTCGCCGTGATCGTATAGTGGTTAGTACTCTGCGTTGTGGCCGCAGCAACCCCGGTTCGAATCCGGGTCACGGCAGTCTTCAGAGTGGGTTAACTTTTAGGAATTGTTTTTGATACTGATTGCTACAAGGGTTCCACTTGCACCATACCCAAATCCGACACGTTTATTTTTTAAAAATGGCATGTTGTAATGGATCACAGGGGTGTTACTAGACATAAAGACAAAGTTCTCATATCAAAGCACACAACTGTTTTTGTTGAATGTTTATTGCTTAGCCCACTATTCCGGTAAAGGTCATTAATCTTTAGGGAAATATTTATTTCAACATACATTATGAACATTATCAACATGTTTTTATGGCATAAAGGTCTGGCCATGTATTGCACTTTTTTTTTTTGCATTAATAACTAATTTTTGTAAAGCAGCTTGTTTGTTTATCAACAAATCATGAATTAAAAAAAATCTAATTATGATTTTGTAACTCAAAGAGCCACAGAATATATCAGTTCTCCAATTACTTTGAAATTGTACTGTGCAATGGATAGTTAGCTGGTGTTGAGACACCTGTCTCCATAGAGGTCCCTGCACAGACATCTTTCTACACTCACTCCCTTCCTGTCTCAGGTTCACTTGTTTGTTAAATGTCTTTAACAAACATTATTTGGGCTGTGTGACAAGAGCATCACATATATTATAGGCTATTCAGTTAATATAGAATGAAGAGCCCAACGTTAACATAGACCACTATGGACTATATTATAATCAGAGGCGTTCCTAATAATCTGGCTTTGGCATGTATTTAGCTGGGGCGGACAAAAATATAGAGACAGCTCTAAATATAATGTAGTCCAGTACAACACCACCTTTATCTATGGGCTCAATAATAAACATACAATTGAATTTATGCATTTATGACAATTTCACCAAAATCTGGAACATTTTAAGCTTCATAAACACAGATGTTTTGTGCGCGCTGCAGTGCACCAGCTATGACGTGCAAGACGTGCATATACGTGCACTATGGTGTATGAACCTTGACCCACTTGCGCCTCAGCTTGTATTTTACTATGATATTAGAACAACAAAAGATTTCTTTTCACATTATTACCAATATAAATCAATCCGCTGCCATATATATGCATATAATATAATGATTTTAATGTGATTAGTAACATGTGATTTTAGTGGGGCACAGTAGATCAATACTGGAGCATGTACCCTAGTAAAAGGGGTCTAAGACGCCTATGGCATCCATCATTCCACATCTACAAACCAACAGCTGGACTCATTCACTTTTTATTATTAAAATCTATGCATTTTATTCCTAGTTGCTGTGATTTCTGAGTGCTAAATCTGTTTAAAATCCTCAGCACAATGGAAAGACAATGCTGAAAAGTGGGCTTGTGTATAGCTGGTGAAATATACTGTATGTGTTACAAGCTGGAGACTGTTAAGCTTAGACAGACGGTGAATGTAGCCAGACATCTGATGTTCTCTCTGATTTCAGCCTGAGGTGACACAGAGTTAATACTGAAACTGAAAAGTGATCTTTTAAAGCATCTTTACCTGCTGGGAGATTAGAGTCTGGATAGTGGTTGGGAGCTGTGGTAATGCACATGCTGGACTACAGCGAGGCTCTCAGTGTTGCAAACTGAGCTTAGAAGGTAATACAACTAACTGCTGAGTCACACACACACATAGCAGATACACACTGTTAGACCCCAGATCAATGCATGAACAGCTGACTAAATGGAGCAAGCTGTTTAAATAGGGTAAATAACATACTATACAAGAAAATCTTTTGTGTAAGAAACCACGTGTCAGAGTGCCCAGTCATCCCTCATTCTGTTTTTATAGAGACTGAATCTTGTGGTCAGTTGTAAAGATAAATGTCAAGTTCTTACAGGTAACTTTACAAATGTCATAAAAGCCTGTTTTGCCCCAGATACAGACCTTTTTAAAAGAGAATGAGGACATGAATCTACCCCACAAAGCTTTTAGTTCAGATAAAGTTGGCCATTACTCTTTAATGCCAGTGGCTTTATGGTAAGGCTCTCTTTCATCTCTAATCAGCAAAGTTTTATTAGTTAGTTATTTTTCATGATGAGCTAATTATGGATTGTTAATTATGTTTATCAGTTTCCAATCAGTTGTCCAAGATTACTCTCACTTTTTTTTTTTATCTCACCATCACCTCCAGGCTTTTATTTGAAAGCTCTATCCTAATAGCACTATTGCTGCTTGCAGTGGCTTTGTTGTTCTTGTGCTGGTTGATCTGGTTTATCTTTGTGTCCTGTGCATTTGTTTTTTTGTCTTTTAGACACCACATGCATGCTATCCTGTTTTCTGCACAATCTCAGCTCTAACTTTGACTTCTCATTTTGTCAGTTTAATGATTTGATTCCAACCCACCATCTTTTACATTGAAATGCTTGTAAATCACTGAAAATAAAAAATTAAATTTTTTTTTTTTAATGTTCTACAGACATATCCTGTGTGTGAAAGCCCCACTTCTGCCCTTCTAACCAGTTTTCTCTGATTGTGATAAACATGATAGACTTAGATATTTGTCTTACTGCACGTTTAAATGGGCTACGATCCGTGCGCTAATGGGTGGGTCGCTCAGACATTAAAAATGAAATAAAAATAAAAATAAATAATTTGACCAACGTACTGTGCCACTAGAACAAAGGTTATAAGGTGTTCCAGTGTTGTTATATAGTGATTTATTAGAGGTTTAGGCTGTTGAGTTGGTCAGATAAACCTTTCTTCCTCACTCCTCCTCCCCCTCCCCCAGTCAGCCTTTAAAAGTGAGAGAGTTCCCGTTGCACCCGATACGAGCATCTGGTTTTTCACGTCACATTAAAGGTGAGAAGGCCAGTGAGACAGACAAGCTTGAGGATGCTGACAGTATCACTCATCTCTACGGGACAAGTTGCCTAAAACAACTTTGGAACCGTTGTAACTGGACTTTTAAGCATCATTGTCACATCGTTTGTCCAGCTTTATTCTCTCGTATTGATCATATTTTGTTCTTGTGGGACTGTGGACAGTGCGTCTCCGCCTTGACGCCATGTGTGCGCTGCTGCCGGCGTGGCTGTGCCTGCTCCCCCCTGCCACTGCAGATCCACTCCCGGGCTTTGACTCTGCAGACTCTGACTCACAGTCACAGGTACCACTGTCTCACCGTGCATTCACAAAGTGATGGATGAGAAAACGGACTTAACATACAGTATCTTTGATTAGCCTACATTGCTGTTAACGTTTTTATGCTGCGCCTTGACAGAGTGTGTTTAAAGGCATCTTTTCTAAAGAGTGCAAACTCATTTAGTGCTGAGATAATTAGTTAATTAATCAGTTAGTCAGTAGAAATAGCCTACTAAACATTCCTAGTTACAGCTTCACTGGCATTTGTCACTATGTTTAGACCAACTTGATTAAATCAATTCATTAAATGTCAAACATTAAAGGGCTGTATTTGCCTTCTGGCAGTCATTAATGTGAGAAAAAAGTCCAGCAACAGAATGAAGTCATTCCTCTTAGCAGCAGGAGGTGAGACAAAGCTGAGGGTGAATTAGTGGGATTTGGGACAGGGATACATGCGCATACCAACAGGCCAAACAGCAAACAAGACCCAGCTAGAGTAAGGTAGACAACAACATCAACAATAACAACAACATCAACAATAACAACAACAACAACAACAACACACACACAGTTTCTCTCTCCACAGACAACACTTTACCAAACATCTGTCACATACAGATGCATCATCAGTTAATATTCCTGTAGCCTCTGTGATTTTGTCAGACAAGACCTCTTACTGCTTTGTGTATTATGTGTGGGAGAGAGTAGGGAGCGGGGTGTTAGTCTTGTATAACAGGGACTTCTCTAGTTTTTCACAACACCTCAGTCTGTTACACTGTGAATACAATTACCCCAGAGTTAAAGTGTTAAAGAGCTTTTTTAATACACTGACTTGGAGCCTGTTCTGTGTAAATCTATGCACTTATCTCTAAACATACAATATACATGGTAAGCCTATATTTTTATCAGCTTATTAATTTTGCATTTTGTATTCCTTCTCAAGTTGACAAGTTAGGTTTTAGGTTGTATTACTAAATTTAAAAAAAGAGCTTCACAAAGGTTTTGTGGGTAGTAGCCTAGATGTCAACAAAAGCTCCTGACTAAAGCGAAAGAGTAGAGAGGTGCTCAGTGTGGTTTAACACTGACAGATGCAAGTAATACTGCAAATAATGCTTAATATAATGAAGGGAAAAAGAGAAAAATAAAATAAGAAAGAGAAAAATTATAGGATGGTGTAGAAATTTAGAAAGGCCTGAGAGAAGACTTGTGGGAATTGAGGCGGTAATGAATAGACCTATTGGGCATCGGATAAAAAGTTTTCTTTGTGCAAAAGTTAAGACAGGAAAGTGTGTCTGTGTGTGTGTTCAGTTCCTTTGTGAAGAACCCCCATGCTGTGCTGCAGCCTGGGAGGAATGTTAGAGAAGCTTCTTTTGCTCTTGGACTCTTCACAGGTTCACAACCTGGATGGCCATACAATACACACACACACACACACACATCCACACAAGACAAGGCAGCAGTGAAAGAGAGAGGTTCTAACAAGAAGTGCAGAAAACAATATATATTCTTCTCTGTGGCATGGGCCAATAAGACCAAGTCCTAGCACCTCCGCTGCATAAAAACATAAGACAGAAAGGCTCCTTGACAAAAGGGATATATGTTTGCATGTGGATGTGAGAGCAGCAGTTCACAGTATGTCTCACTGTTTAAATACACACACACAGAAGTAAATGTTAGCATGTGAACACCACTGAAAAAAGAGGTTTGCTCTTTGGCTGCTGTAGAATAACAAACAGAGCTGCTAGGTGAATAAGACTGACCTTACAGTAGACATAAAACTTTAAACCTGCAATAACTGATTTTTCAGCCATGCCCACTTGTTCGCCACCCTCTGTCTATCTCTGCTTCTATCTTTCCTTCTTACTTTCTCCTTTAATCCGCTCTGTTTCATTACCTGACAAAAGAAGAGAGCACAGGTTGAAAACAGTGGACATTCCTTCAGTGCAAGCCTCACTTCCTGTTTCATCTTGTCCTTTTTATTCAGAAATTTAAACAGGCAACATACACACGACTGTACAGCATTATACTTTATGTGATCAGGCTCTGTCTGTCTGTGTGTGTGTATACTGCTTTTGCATTGTGTCTAAATATTTTCTCTCTCCCTCAGGTTCGGTTTCCCCAGAGTCTCTAAATACCCCAAATTTTCTTACACAACCATCACATCTGCTGTGCCTGATCTCTCCATTGCTGTTGACAACCACGCTACTCAGCGAGACAGACATATCATCCGGAGAGTCCTGCTGCACAAAGAGCCCCCACCGAGGTTGCCCGAACCATTGTTTAACCAAAGTGACAGTATGTTACAGGAAGCACCAGTCTGGCAACGTGTGTCTCGCAGTCGTCGTCATGCCAACACTAGCAGGAGTGGGGGCCATGGCCACCTGATGAGGGTGGGGTGTGTCCTAGGCACCTGTCAGGTTCAAAACCTCAGCCACCGTCTCTACCAGCTGATTGGACAGAGCGGGAGGGAAGACTCTTCCCCTATTAACGCTCACAGTCCTCACAGCTATGGCTAAGACCACACCTTAATCCCAGCAAGTCACCTTTATTGCCAAGGTTACCTAAGTCCTTTATTGAATCACTTTGATGCAACAAAATATTTGATGTCTCTGCTTTAATACAACTTGAGTCTTAGTTTTGTAGTTTTGACTATCACTCTCGCCAAGTAAATTGTTGCAATTTTGGACGGTGGCAACATTGCTAGAAAGACATCAGATGATTCGAGAAACACAGGCAGTCAGACAGATGTTAAACAAGTTGGGAGAATATAGGTAAATAGTAAACGTATCACTCAAACTGTTCCAAAATGTCTGTAGGATATTCTTAGTAGTCTTGCAGGCTTGTCACTTGCAAGCCAACCTACCTCCAAAATATATTACAACTAGCTGGTGAATGTAGCAGAGCATTTAGCAGCTAAAGAGCCAGCTATTTTCCTCAGCAGGTGGTAGAGACCAAAACCAGAGCTAAAAGAGAGCAGGTATAAACCCTTCACACAGGTATAGACCCCCCACAGTGCACAAAATAACCACTAACCCATAATCAGTCTGCATGTGTTTTAACAAACAGAGAACCAGAGAAGAACATATGCTATGAGTGTGTTTCACCTGTGAACTGTAAATCTAAGATGTACTTAGATTTTACCAATAGAAAGTCAGATTCTGAGCCTTACTTGTTTTAATCTAAAAATTGTTTTTTACCTATCCCCTGTCCAAATTAAACCTCATGATGAATGCTAACTATCAAAGTGTTATTATAGTTTTATACAGTTATCTGCTTTTATCTATGCATCAGTTCACCATGACTCCAGTTTCAGTAGTTGCTCTTGGACAGCAAATGTTTATAGGAATGCAAGAAAGCACTTTATTCCTCTTTATATTCAGTAATACTTGAATTGTAAGGATGTGCTATTTAACTTTACAGTAAATTAATGAGGCCATTTTGTTGTAGCTATAGAAAATCTTCATATTTTAAGTTAAAAATGTGGTGGCTTGTTGTGTTTCTAACCATTACCTTGGGGTTTGGGGGTGGTTTTTAAGTTGGCCAGTCAGATTTCAAAGCTTGACCATGCCTCCTCCACCCCTAGACACATCCCTCACTTAAACAAAAATAACTTGGGCGCGTTCTAACGATTCTAGGTCTGGTTTGTGAACATAAAATTAGTATTTAACATCTTTGTAAATGGTTTTTGATTTCCTTTTTTATTTTATTTTATTATTTTCTCATGCTATACTACATCATTCACAGGGCCAGACAAACAGGAACAATGACGTAAAGCACTCACCTTATGTACTTTTTTTTTTCTGTGTAAATGTGTTTTTCCAGGAAATGGCCTCTTTGGCTGTAAGCCAAAAATAAAATTCTCTCACACTAAAAAGCTAATGCACGTATTTTCTTATGCGTTAAAAGAGATGAGGATGAAGAATTTTCTCTGATTCACACATACCAAAGCTATGTAAAAGGAACAACCCGGTAACCTGCTGAGACTGATGTCAAATAGGACAGGTATCGATAAATCACTGTGAGCACTGGGTCGCCCGAGGTTTGTTTGAACACTGGTGAACAAGGTTATTTGATACTGAGAAATCACTGGTCACTACACAGAAACTAAAACACATCTATAAAAGAAGGACTAATTTTGTGTGTGCTTTTATTTTCATGTGGGTAGGTATAATATTTGTACAGCTACAAGGATAGATGGAGAGCTTGAAATTACATGTAATGTAAAAGTATTTTATATATTAACAATAATAAAACTATGAATAAAACAATCAAACTGAAACTACTGTCATACTATATCAGTCTAACAGATAAACTGTTGATTCTTTAAAAAGAATGCTAAGGACTCAAAGATACATACGAATACACAAGTACACAAGGCCAAGGTTCAACACAGTGCCCCCCATTTTACGAAATTTGGTTAAAATGTGACTGGTCATTGGTGTACGCGTCGGCTGAAAGTACAGATTGCAAGCATTATTGCCTCAACCTCCAGCATATATACAAGCAGACAACAAACTCTCAGCACCAGAGGATCAACACACCACAACACAGCGGCTGCAAAGGCTTCATCTGTCAGCCATGAGGGTCGTCAGCATTGTACGTGTAGCTTCAGTACAAAATCAAGGCTATACTTTAATTTTTACCATTTTTACTTACTTGAATAATCATATTTGCCATATCTATGTGAAGCCTGAAGTGTTTTCTGTAATGTCTGTGTTACTTAAAATGCAGGGTCCAGATCCGTCTCTGGTATATCGGCCAAATTTGATGAAAACAGGAACCAAGGAGAAGGAAGATTACAGAAACTTTGAAGTAAGCATTCAGATGATGACACTTAATCTGAAGTGTCGTCCAGTGATTAGACAGCGGTGTGGTTTGGTTGGACCGAAACAAAAAGGCACAGCTCTACATCTCTGCCGAATCTTCTGATTATTTCTTATCAAACTTCTCATTATCACTCATTTGAGTGAGCTTCCCCGTTTTATTTTTAAAACACTGCTGAGTCTTGGTAAGTTTCGACAGTTATGCAGAAATTGCAGAAGGCTTAAATTACTGGCTAGGTGTTGTCCAGAATGTCAGGAAAAGAAGCTGAATCTGTCATGCTAGGCAAAAATCTATTTAAACCCATAAAAGATTTCACATGATGTTCCTTGTCTTTGTTTTATAAAACTGTATTTGTATTGCTGTTTTTCAGCCTGGAAGTCTCAATGACCGTATCTTCAGAACATATACACTAATGCACATCAACCAAACCTTGGACTTTGTAAAGAAAAAGGTGAGTAAATCAGGAGCTAATACAACAGGTACACTGTGATATTGGGGGGAATGCCATATGTATATTAAAATAAATGTCTAATAAATTTTTGCACAGTGTTTTGTGTGTTACTATTTTGCTGAGTGGTCCTGTCAGACTAAACGAATGCCATTCTAAATCCAAAGCCAAAGAACCTGGACTGAATGTTGTTTAAACAACCTCATTTTAATTTCTCTCAAAGGTTACACTGGCGCACTTTCCTGTTTTATATATGTCATCACCTGATGAGAACCCAGCTGTGGTCACCTACTCTGGGGCTGTTTATAGGCCTAGGATGTTGGTAATACTGAGAGAAGGCGTGCACTTTTAGTGTAAGGTAACAGACAGAATATGAGCGGTGACAGGGGACTGGTGCCTCTTCTGTTTCTGTTTACTTCATTCATTTTTTTAGGTTACTTGCACAAAAACATTCAGCCTGGAAATTCATCAGAAAAAAAAAGGTTGTCTTTTTCAGAGGTGCTCGCAACTTTGTGAGAGAACATCTCCCCAGTAATGCAGTGACTCTTACCTTCCCGCAGCACTCTCAGTGGTCCAGCTGCAACCACAGTCGGATGGGGATGATGGATGCCATCATGTGTCTTGACCAGCTGGTGGACGAGTCGGATCCTGATGTGGACTTCCCCAACTCTTTCCATGCCTTCCAGGCTGCTGAGGGCATCCGCCAAGCCCACCCAGATAAAGGTACCACAGAGAAAGAGACGACGTACAAGCACATCCTCTAAATAAGCCTGTTAAATAACTGTATTCACTGTCGTACCCCAGAGTGGTTCCAGTTGGTGGGTTTGATCCATGACGTTGGGAAGATCATGGCTCTTTGGGGTGAACCCCAGGTAAGAGACAGGTTCACCACAGCCTAAACGCCTAAACCCAAAGGAATATGAGATCAATTTCCTGCCAATTATTTTCACACTTGTACACATTTTTTCCCCTTATGTATAATTTTTCTACTTAATACTGTTATTTTATAACCCCTCTTAAATTCCTTTTATTCTTTTATAAGACATTTGTACTGTTTTTGATAAGTGGCTGTAATTTTTATAACAACCCCAACGCTCTTACATACTGTATATGGAGAACTATAATTACTTCTAATTAATTCAGTCTCAAACAACTGTGGCCATTCCTGTCTATTCTACAGTGGGCCGTAGTGGGTGACACCTTCCCCGTGGGCTGCAAGTTTCAAAACTCAATTGTGTTCAGAGACAACACCTTCCTGGATAACCCAGATGCCAAAAATCCAAGCTACAAGTTGGTACTCGTGTGTTTCATTATCAAGCTGTGAATGTAGCTCTTGAGTTGTTGGTTACTTTAAATATGCAAGGTCATCAGTACGCCTGCAGTCACTTCTTTAGTTGATCGTTAGCACTGTAATCTTAACCTAAGGATCTGCACGAAACAAAGGCTTTAATTATTTTGATATTTTGTTTCACATAAACTTCAGATGACATACAGTGATTACAGAACTGAGGAAATGTATTTCAGTGTTTAATATCAGTAGTCCATGATCCACTTTAATGAATAGGATAAAATATGACCACATTTTTGATTTGTATGCAAAGCTGTTAAACGTACCAACCTCGCTGTTCAAGTTTGGCTTGATACATACAATGTTTTTCTTTTCTTTAGTACTGAATATGGGATCTATGGACCAAACTGTGAGCTGGACAAAGTCCTCATGTCCTGGGGCCATGATGGTAAAAGATGCCATTACTTTCAGTAACACATTCACAAACATTTACAATAAGAAAATGTGCACAGACATTGAAGTGCCCGTTTATCTACAACACTGTACCTAAACGTCTTTGCTGTTATCTTCAGAGTATCTATACAGAGTTCTGAAGTTCAACAACTGCTCCATCCCAGAGGAAGTGAGTAAACCATGGCATTACATGCTTATTAAATGCATGTTTTGGACAATTAACTTAACAGGGTGTACCACAAAAGGGTGTGGAAGTTGTAATAAGCATTCCTAGGGTCTTGACTGGTTATGAACAGCAGAGCCAAGAACTATGTGAAGAATATTAGAGCAGATAATATGTAGTGATTTTATTTCTTCAGTTTGAGTGCTTACGGGCTTAGTTATAGATCTCCTCTTTTTCTGTCTCTCTTCAGGGGTTATACATGATTCGCTTCCATTCGTTCTACCCCTGGCACTCCCATGGAGACTACATGCATTTGTGCAGTGACAAAGATAAGCAAATGCTGCCCTGGGTCCAAGAGTTCAAGTAAGATGCCTTCCTCATTCATATGCATTCTCCTGCACGCTGCTTTGACCTTAACCTGCTTCTTCTTCTCCATAGCAAATTTGACCTGTACACAAAGACCACTGATCTGCCTGACATCGACAAGCTGAAGCCATACTATCAGACTCTGATTGACAAGTACTGTCCCGGGATACTGAAGTGGTAAATGGTAAATGGTCTTATACTTGTATAGCGCCTTTCTATGCTTTTTACAGCACACTCAAAGCGCTTTCACATTATTCGGCCATTCACCCATTCACACTCCCAAGCACTCCCGGTGACATCACCGGGAGCAACTGGGGGTTCAGTGTCTTGCTCAAGGACACCTCAACATGTTGACTGGACAAGCCGGGAATTGAACCGCTAATCCTCCGGTTAGGAAACGACCCGCTCTACCTCCTGAGCCACAGCCGCCCCCCTAAAACAAATGACAAATAATTCAAAAATCAGCTCATAGAAAGGAGGATTACATCTGCTGTGTAACTCAGAATTACTTTAAGCATCGGTGCTTTATAATAACACTACAGATGGATAACACCTGTAAGCACGTATTACTTATCTGAACATGTTTCTTGAGTACTACTGAAAACATATACGGGATGGTGCTGAATCCCAGCCAACATCAGGCGAGGGCCAGAGTACGCCCTGGACAGGTCGCCAATTTATCACAGGGCTGACACATAGACGGACACCCTTTCACACCTACAGACAATTTAGATTGAGTCACAAATCCACCTAACCTGAACGTCTTTGGACTGCGTGTAGAGCTGGAGAAAACCCACAGAAGCCCAGGGAGAGCATGCAACCTCCACACCGAGAGGACCCCAGAAGCTTCTTGCCATGAGGCATCAGCACCAACCACTTCACCACTGTGCCGCCTGTTAGGTATTTTTAGTCAGATAGAAATTGGATAGATACTTTATGTATTAGAAATGTTTAGTGGAGATATGATGTCTAGTTAGACTGTTAAATGCTTAGTCATGCTTATGAGTTTCTACAGGGTACATCTGGTCAAGGATAACTAGAGAAGAGTTGATGACTGTCAGCAGACAGGGTGTTTAATATTATTATTATGACGTGTAAAACTGTAGCCTTAGCCATAATATGTTCTTATGTTTAAGTCACGACATGTTACTAGTAGTCTGTGAGAATGTTTTTAGTTACACACCTCTTAATCAACAGACACACACACATTGATTGGCTTCATGTTTTGACTACTGCTATGACCAGCTGCAAAGCTGGTAAGAGAGACATCTCGGTTGATGTTTCTGTGTAGTATGGGGCTAGCCCGACCGAGGGGATATAATGTATAGGCCTGGTGGGTTCAGGGTCTTTCATCTTACATCTGCCTGCGAGCAGTTTGGAGGTGCAAGATACCTGAGCATGTAATGTTAATTTTACCTGTGATCCTTTGAATAAATCAGCACTGTTTTGAAGTTACTTGGACTGTCTCGTCTGTCAGAGTTAGCAATGGTAAGAAGAACCATATCCTACACGCCCAAGTCATGATTTTTACACCTTTCCAAATAAAAGTTCACAGAAAATCATTTTTCATCATTTTTGTATTTTAATGCTGTAAGACACTAGTAACTATGACAGTGTTTGGGTGATTTTTTTCAAGTTTAATATTGACAGCAACAAAAAGCCAACACACACAAAGAGTGGGACAGTAATGCGAACAATAAACTTTGTGGAGATTAAAATGCATAAACATGTGGGAAGATCTGCTCCTTTAAAACTGCTCCTAAGGCAATAGGTGATTTCTGAAGTAGCAAACTCTGATGCAGAAGGTGCAAATGAATGGAGGTAAATAAACTTTTAGAAATCTTTCTGTAATTGACTGATCAGAAAATACAAATATACAAAGAATTTCTTTGGCCATGTTTAGTAACATTTTAAAAAGACAAATGGGGTTAACAGTCTATGATTCGTTAACCTGCATCTTCACCAAAGCTTCCCTTTCAGAGGGGTTCACCTTTTTCTTTCCTTTCTTGTGTCCTCTTCTTCCTCCTCTTCATCAACAGTGTCTTTGTTTTCTCCTTCTCCTTCCACCTCTTCACTGTCTTCACTGTTCTTTTCATCCTCCTCCTCCACCTCCTCCTCCTCCTCCTCAAGATTATCCAAAGAGCCTCCAGGTACATTTTCTGTGTGATCACAGACAGTCACAGGACCCTTTTGAGTGAGTGGGGTCTTTTCCCTGTGTTTGCTCCTGCTTCGCAATCCCCAAAGGAGACACAAGGTGGAACTGCAGGCAATGAGGGTCCAGATTAGTATGTGGGCAGGAACACCTCTGACCTGAGAGCGCACCCACCTAACTACCCGGACAACAGTGGTGTTGGACATGCGACGTGGAGGCGATTTGTCCTACAGAGAAATGAAGACCAATATTAATCAGTACTGGATCCTAACCCATAAAAGGCATGAACAGGGACATTTGCTTCCCATGTTTAAGTTTAACACCGTATCTAAAGAAAGGCCTATGAGGGATGAGTAATACAAACAAACATGATAGTTTTTATGATACATTTACCTTGAGCCCATAGTGGTTGAGCATGCTTTCTAAGAAGCTGTTGCCCAGGTGCACTGTGGGATAAAATTCCTCTGCATAGACCCTCCTCCACCAACGCTCTGGGTACGACCTGCAGGCAGAGACCAGCCAAACAGTAAATATCATCTTATTTGCGTGTGTGTGAGGTTACTTCAACCCAGAGAGACCAAAATGTCCAACATCCCGACAGAGACGACCCTCCTCCACCAACGCTCTGGGTACGACCTGCAGGCAGAGACCAGCCAAACAGTAAATATCATCTTATTTGCGCGTGTGTGAGGTTACTTCAACCCAGACAGAGATGAAAATGTCCAACATCCCGACATTTGGGAAAGTTGCACAGCGTACAATAATTAACCTAGTATGACACAGCCAAGCCCCATGAACCATCCACACACTGTACTGTAGAGTATACTTTATCACCCCCGCCCGCCCACACACACATGCACAACTGTTTAAGATGTTTGTACAGGAAAAACTGTGTGAACTTAAAAACACTAGTATTCTAAGCTAAAGAATTTAATGTAAAAGGAGTTGTAGATGACAATACTTTTGAAAATGTAAACATTAGAAATTGTTTATTAAATGTGTTTTTGGCAGTAATGTTTGAGAGTTTGCCGACTGCACATAGGTTATCATAAAACCGAGACTATTCAAATTTCTTCAGTGTGCACAAACGTAGACAGAGACACAGAGAAAGCACTGACCCGTCAGCCTTTGGTTCAGTAAACCAGTATCTGTAGCGGTGAGCTCGGAGGTAGGCAGGAGGCTGCTGGTGGAACGGATACTGAGATACATCTGTCTGGATCAGCTCTATCACTGCAGGACACAAAACAAAGCTTTCAGAGTTCTGCTTGCTCTAAAAAACAAACAAACAATATAAGTCTTTTCATTTAGCCACAGAGCACATTGCCTAGCCTGTGCTCTGTGGGTTGGAACTTGGTCCAATGCTGTGGTTACTTTCCATAAACCCCATTTAGAGAATAAAACCAATACTGCATCCTCTATACTCACCATAATGTATGTGAATCCAGACTCTGGTTTAGCTTATTCGTCTAAACAAAGCAAAACCCCTGCTGTGACACCACTATCTGGGTGTGGTGAGAAGTGCGGCGATAGTTTTCTATACTATGTGATTCACTACTGAATTACCCATTAGTAGTTAGAAGAGTGACAGGAGACAGAGCAAGAAAATAAACTGTACCACTACGGATGCATACCATCCGTCTTTCCTTGCAGCAGCCTGTGCATGAGGCTTGTGAACCATGGAGTCTGTGTATGAGAACTGAGGGCAGCAAACCACATTTGCCAGTCCAGCCTGGGCTGGTGGGGGGTCAGCACAGGAGGAGGTGCACTTAGGTTCCCTGGCTTATACATAAACTCAATCTCCTACAAGAAAAAAAGAGAAACACACCAATATATATATAAATTTGTACAGAGTAGCAGCAAACTATTCAGTGCTGCCTTCATGGTATTATGTGGTTACACATTTTGGTGGGTTTGGAAGCAAGCTAGACGTTTCTCATACAGGAAGTTGATATAAAATTAGCAGCAGCACAGTACTGAGATCAGAAACAGTCACCAGGCACATTCAGATCCTGTTTAAGCCACCATCCGTGAAAACTTTTTTCTCTTACCGTCCATGTGACTCCGTCATTACTTCCCTCAATGACAAGTTCTGGCCGCCCTCCAACGCCTGTCATTCTTCTGAAGAGGCCGTATGAGTTGACCAGCTGGTAGCGATCCACCAGCTCATAGGCTCGACGCACTCCGGGCCACAACCTGGCAGTAGAGTCATACTCTATATAGGTAAAGGGTACCTGGAACAGAAAATCACAGTCAGAATGTGAAGACAAGAGAGAAAATACTTTGGTGAAACTGTGGCAACAAGAATGACTGCATTGGACAAAGGGGGAAACATGGTCAGTTAGACCGCTGGCATTCTGACTTCTACTAAAATAAAGACGTCAGAATCTGAACGTTAGCCACTAGTGTGTTTCCAACAGCACCCACCAGACTGATAGTGAACATTGCGGCTGTGGCAGCAGCAAACACAGTCCACTGAACAGTTCCAAAGAACCTTTTCAGGAACCCAGAGACAGACGCACACCTACAAAAACACATCACATGCCAAGTTATTTTGTACATCCACTGCATACTTCTATTAAAAAAGGCAAACCACAATGTAAAAACCGCAACAAACACCCACACAGAGGGGCCTCCTACCGGAACATTGACGTGACCATCTCCCAGGTGAGAGAGAGGACCCCAATCCATATGCAGGGGATAGTGATAGTCTTCAGAAACTGGTTAAACTGGTGGTATGTGAACGCTGCAAAGACAGTGAATCAAATACGTTCAACAATCAAAGAAGATGCATAATGCAAATACATCCTTTTACATACACACACCTGTCCTGGAGGAAATGGTGTTCTTTGCATCCAGCTGCAGGTCAAAGCATATAATTGTTCCAAAAATTAGGAGGGACCAGACTGCCAGCTCCAGCAGGTAACACAGCCACGACCACAGCCTGGAGTCTGATCAGGGCAGAGAGAGAGAGCACAGTGATACTCTGGTGACAGTTCAGGCTTTCAGTGTGTGTGTCTCTGTGGGAATGACTCAGATGTTTCTTAGTTTAAAATTTCATACATTTTTGTGATCACAGTCTATTTATCAATTTTTTTATGTACTGGTGGCTCATGTATTCTATGCTGATGACAGCAGAGCAGCACAATTATACAAGTGCCTTATCACTCTAGTTGAACATTATAACTTCATAGCGAATTTATACTACTAGCAGTAAGACCTAACAGACATGTGTGTATTTGGTATGGGATACCTGGGAGTTATAGGGTTTATCTTTACATATTTACCCAGAGTTTAGTTGCTTTGTGTGGCAATGCTGCATAGTATCATGAGTTTATGTTGCTGTACCGTTGTTGGTCTCGTATGGCTTGCGCAGCCAGAAGTGCATATGTTGATCATCCAGCAGAGACAGACAAAGGGCCACCGTCAGCAGGTTGAAGAAGTTGTAGTTTCCAGACAAAATGATGAGCACTTGCAGCAGCACCTACACAAGGATGTAAAAGACAAAAAAAAGCATAACTTTTTTGATTTTTCTAATGCACACAACCAAGGGAGGCAAAACAAGTTTGTTTTACGAAGCACAAAACTTGCAAATTTGTTAATTGCAGACTTTAGAGACAGTTAGGGAAAATTCAGCGGTGCAACTTGCCATCTAATAATCATTCATTTTATACATCTGGTGTTTGTTTACCTTGCATTAAAAAAAAACCTAACCTAACCTAAAACTGACTGCTAACACAAAACACACGTTAGTCAATCAGCAAACTAAGAAAAAAACAAGACTTCTAAAAATCAAAAAAGAAGCACCTGCATTTCTACCCACCTGCAGGTAAAAAGCTCCAAGTCGCAGCCTACGCAGCGGACTGAAGAATAACAAAGGTACAGGGATCTCTATCACAAAGGTTCCCACCACACTCAGCTTCTGCCACCACACTGGCAACTGGTGGGCAAACCAGGCCAGTGGAGTGGGGATACACTGTGTCTCATAGTGATACGTCAGAGCTGTTCAACACATAGTGAAAGATATATGCAATCAAATGGACATCCACACCACAGTATACGTTGTAATCTTATGTATTAAAAACATATCAAAACCATTTTGCATCCTTTCTTACAATGCAAAATTGTCTCTTTGAGCGTAAAGACAGAATGAATGACACACAAATACTCCTCCACACATACCTGTAAGGCCCCACCATGTGGGACAACGTGATGTGAGTTTCACCACACCAGAGGCGAACATGAGCCTGAAGAGCAGCCACCGGATCAGCCAGAAAGTGACACGATCGTGTTCTCTGACCCGGAGGGAGCCCCGGATTAATGTCAGGGGAGCAACAAGGATACAAAGGAACCCCGTCTCTAGAAGCAGGTTGTCCCTGAACGGCAGTAAGGAGGCCGTGTGACAGGAAACAGAGACAAACAGAGAAAGCAGGGGAAAACAGAGCTGTAGTTTCTACTTTCTAATTCTATAGTGGTGTCTGCAGTGTTGTTGTAAAGCGGCAGAGAGAAACACTACTACTCTATAACAGTAGCCTAAGGATGATATAAACACATCAGCAAACAGCCATGACCGTTTGGGGCTTCTTCAACCTGCCACAGAAGTAGTGCATTATTGACAAAAATAAATCAGTTAATAAAGCTACAAACTCACCACTGGAAGTAGAGGAAAACCTGGCCCACCTGAAGCAGACAAATATGGTGATGCATAAATAAATGCATTAAAGAAATAAATATGGGTACCACTGACACAAACTCACCTGGTACATGGACAGGTACAAGGCCCAGAGGCAGAAAAACACTATACTGTCACGGAGAGACTCCACCAGAGTGGCAGCGAGGCTCAGTGCGGCCCCGATGAGACACAGCAGCTCCATGGTGGCGTGCGTGTCCAGGCCCAGCCGAGGTCCAAGCCACAGCAGGGTAGGAGAGGACAGCAGCTGTTCACCCAGGGACTTACCGCTGTAGCGCAGCTGCCAACGAGCAGGCAACAGCCCATCATTACCATAGAGACCTAGAAATAGACACAAATGTGCAAAGTAACAATGTAAACAGAGTGTCTTAGTGAAGTGTTAAGAACAGCTTCAAGAAGTTGCAGGATCTCAACAGTTCTTCCAAAAGACATTTTGATGTGGTCTTCGGTGAATGCTGCCTCCAACCCCTGCCATAGGTCTGTGATCTGGTGACTCTGAATACCACAGCAAATGATTCACACATCATATTTATACTTCTAACCCTCTGAGTAATGACATGAGTAATCCACTCATGTTTTCAGGAGTTTTTTTTTTAAAGGTTAACCCATCTGTATCTGTGAATCTATCAGTACTACAGACTCACCTGGTGCTGACTATGCAGAAGTGCCTTTAGCTAAAAACAACAACATAAAGAAAGAAAGAAAAAGAAAAATACTGGACACCTTTATAATGAATTGTATTTTAAAGTGTGTACAACACATTAAACTGGCATTTTTCTATTAATTATTTAATTCTATTAAACCTTTTTAAAAAGAAAAAAAGAACAATGACCATCACAGCTTTGAAAAACCAAATCCATGATGTCTATGAAGGCTCTCAGTCTTTCAGGTGATGGTATGTGGCAGAGCTGGCAGCTGGACTTGAGGCTCTGTTGAAGATGTTTCACCTCTAAAGTGCCAAACATACTTCCTTTAACACATGGGCGTGGGCGACGCCTTCCAGACTCATGCTGGGTTACTAAGATAAGGCGCCCTCCTCTGTTAAAAGCAGAGTTTGCGGGTGATGTGGTACAATACATTAGTGCTACTTGAGTATCATTTAAACAGGTAAGGTCTCCCTCAGCAGCTGTTAGCTCTTAGTCATGAGTGGTGAAAACTTTCAACCCACAGAAACGTCCAGGTGGGGCTCTTCATCACATACAGCACCATTATGATGAGCGGATGAGGACAAGGCGCCAAGTTTCCAGCTAACAAGCTAACACACCCCTGTAGTAAAGTGAGCTAGCAGAGTCGTGTGACTCACCTGGTATCTGCACATAGAGGGAAACAAAAGCAGCCAGGTAAATATATGACATGCACCAGAGGAACATGCGCCTTGGCAGGACGATTTCTCCCATGTTGAGACGAGCTACTGGTCGGGACAGCCACTTCTGTTCCCGTAGCAGGACTGGAAGCAGGACTTAACGCAGCCAGGGGGACACGTAGCGATGAGCATTCACCCGAACGGCCTCAAGATGGCGCTGCGGTTTGTTTTGGATATTGTGCTGCGTTCACGTGGCATAGGATAAAGCAAGCAGTGTTTAGATATTGGCTGCTCCTGACGATCACCAGTTTTCCAAAGTATCTGAGCAGTGCACATCAGTTGCAGTACCAACACATTAAGGTAAAAATACTCAATTATAAGTAAAGGTTCTGAATTTAAAACAAAAATGGCACCTTTACATTGTTCTGGGTCACTTTGTACAATTTTTTTATTAATTCACAATTTTGTTTGTACACTAGGCTGAATTTTCTCATCACCTGGGAAAATGATTTTAAACGTCTACTATTAAAAATAACAACTAAAACTGTGTGAAAAGGTTAAATTAGAAATAACTACTAAAATTGGCTTTTTAATCACAAGACAGAGGATACCCCTGTGCATTATATGTTTGAGACATTTAGGGCACATTTATAGCTACCTTTAGATTTAGGATTACACTTATAAAATACAGTGCAGTGTTATCAATCTAATAATGTTATACATGATAAAATACCAGTCACACTTTACTGTGGAATGAGTCTTTTTTACTTTTAATAGTACAACAATCAACAGATTAGTCATTATTGAAAAGCATTGTTAAGTTGTAGCCCTACTGTCAGAAGAATTGAGAGAATTTCTGTACAAGTATCCATATGGTTCCCATACAGTTGGCAAAACGTACACTTGGCATTTTCTACTGTAAACACTCTACTTTTATTCCTATCTATTCAGAAAAGAGGGTGTTTTAATTAAGTATGACAAACAGATGAATCTTGATTTGAATGAGTTTATTGTGTAGGATTTACTGGGCGAGCATACAGATTAATGGCAGTAAAATGCGGTTCTGCATTCTGCTAGTTAGAAAGAAAAAGCATCTAAATATGTACATTCAAGTTTTAGACACAAATATAAGCGCTGATCACACAAAGAGATTAACGTACCACTAATTCTCTGACACAGCAAGTCAAAACATCAATAATTAATTGCACAAGTAAAACAAGCAGTAGGTTTAATACATCTCATAAAAAAAATACTAAAATCTGATTTTAGAAAACGCCTTATTTTTAGATGGCACCTACACCATAAGATGTTTTTTTTTTTCCCAGCACTGGACATAAAATATCAAAGGTGGACAGATCAGTGGCAGGACTATTATTCAAAGCATGAATGCCAAAGCAACAGCTTGATAACACGGTGTGAAATTTGACAATGACAGAAATAAGGATCAGGAAGTGGAACTGATCCAAAAGCTGCAAGGGAAGCAACACTTGCTTTAATAAATACAGCTAAAGGTGTAAATTCAGTCAAAACAATCTCTCAAAGGCTTACTCATAAAATAACCCTGCAGCTAGGCCCACATTAATGACAAAGACTGTATGCCTGTTCCATTTAAACTCATCTGACACTTGCCCATTTGCTTTATATTAAGTGAATAAACATTGGCAAACATTATGCCATCACATTTTACCATTTAAAGATAAAGCAATTTAAAAGTTTTTATGTATAAAATAGCATTTGGAATACATGGCAATGGTTGTACAAGATAGATCGTCACTCTACAAAAATGCTATCTTGGCCTGGATGCGTGTAACTCCGGTAAATAAAAACAGGACAAATAAGTGGTATCGCTGACCATGAACAAATCTATAGAACATTGTAACTGGGCAATACTATGACAGAAAAGTAATACAAAATCCAATTCTGACATAAAACTAATTTACAGTTTTAAAACTATACACCAATTAACTATTAGACAACTAATAATTAGCTTGTAACAAACTGGCACCACAGGTTGGTCTGGGTTTGGATTTTAGCTTCACAATTTGCATTCTAAGGTGAATTTTTTAAAGGTTTTTTGCCATGTTGAAATTTAAATACTTGTCTTGCCTGATAGTCATTATCTACCAATTCTAAAATGGACAGATGGGCCTTTAATCTGCAGATTATTCAAAATAGAGCTTAACACTGCAGGCCATCTGACTACATTGAAATCATTTGTTGGTGTACAGGTGCGTCCCTTTTGGTATGGCCTTTTAATGAATCCTGCAATCTTTGGCTGGATAACATAGTCATAGCTGCCTCAAATGACACTAGCGCCCACACACAAAGGGACTGTAGCTGTGGATAACCCCAATATGGACGGCGGTAATACGTAGGCAAAAGTTGGATGCAAGACAGGTCCTTTGGCTATTGTTTTCACCAAAATGTTTTGAGATACTTTCAGATGACCCAGTTTTCAAAGAGCTACATCACTATCTCCTGCACAAATCCCCTCTTAAACAGAAAAACAAAGAGAAACATCCTGCACTCTTATATTAATACAGACTGCATGTTTCAGTGTGTGAGTATTTGTTCTTTATTGTCGATGTCCAAACCTCTGGATCTTTTCCAAAGCTTTAAGGCAGATGACTCATATTTGGATGGCTACGCTCAACAGAGTGTGCTCACTCAGCTTGTGTGTCATACAGATAGTGAGCCTTTTTGTTTCATTGTCATGTAGCCCCATCGGCTCCACTACTACAAGTCTGTCCGATGTTCGTCGTTGAGGACGTGGGCTCCTGGTCTGTTTCCCTGACACAGATGACAGCATCACCGCTCACATTAATGAGACACTGAGCCTTCAGAAGGAATAAACACACATGATTAAAACACGAGGACACCAATAACTAAGGTCTGAAGATCAACAAGAACAGTTAATTATGCTTTTAAATACAGGTAGACACTGTGTGTTTATACTGTGTATAAGTGTGGCTAA